TAAGGATTTACTACGTAATTAAGCAATATTCTCCAAATATTTAAGTTAAAAAATATTTATTTAAGTTAAAATTATTTATTTAACCGCCAAACAAATAAATAAATAAACTTAAATAAATTAATTAATTAATTAATTAATTAATTAATTAAAAAAAATAAGAAAAATAAAAAATTAATTATATATTTATTTAAAAAAACAGGGTGGCGGCCAGTTCCATTTCGGTTTGTCGAGCGGTTTGCTCGCCAAACCAAGGGGGGTGGCACATGATTTGTGCGCCGCCCCCATGTTATGGGCGTGGGTTTTTCTCGCCACCCCAGGAATGGTGACGAGAAAATTCACGGATGGCGTATTTCTCCTGCGCCAATCATGAAAGGCAGGCGCAAATGTACGTCGCTCCCTCTTTTTTTTTTTAAGAAAATAAATAATAAGAGCAAAATAGTCTTTTTATGGTGCTCTGAAGAAAAGTTAGGACGCTCAGTAGCAACACCCCATTTTTAAAGGGTACAACTTTTTTAATTTAGACTACCCAATTGATACAACTCATTTTATTATATGAACTTCCAAAAATGTTCTGCTAATTTTAATCAGAAAAAGTCAAAAAAAAAAAAACACACACACACACACGTAATGAAGATACAAGACTTGTGTATGAAGATTCCCGATAGGAAATCCCAAATTAGAGAAGGATTTGAGATCCCAAACTACAAACCTAGAAGTTGTAACTTTCCTTTTCTTTTCCCCTTTAGCCCGAGAACACAAACCACGGTTCAGGTCTATACTTATTTGTCTCCACAATTCCAATCGATTCACTTGATTTTGTTCTTTCGCAACAATTTTGATGGATTTCTTTGCGCTTTTGGTGTTTGATCGATTAGAATTGAGGATCTTGGAATTCTAAAACTGAAGAAATTAATTTTCGGTTGGTAAACGCCAATTCAAAATGACTGGTTATCCAGCAACAACGACTTCGAATGCGAGGAAACGGATTGAAAAAGGAGTTGAGAATAATATGAAAAGTACTGAATTTGATTGATGAAAGAGAAGATTGGGTGGTGGCCAATGCCGCTGATGGCGGCGGCAACGGCGATGATTACAAGGTGAGGTGTACCTTTAGGCGATGGAAGTCGATTGGAGTCGACTACGAAAGAGTTTTCAAGCTTTTTTGAGAAGATGGGAAACAACGACAATTTCACAGGAGGTATATTTAAGTCATTTCACTTAAATTAATTTTGACTTCTGTGAAATTGAAATTTTTTTTAGACAAGATTTTTTTTATCAAATTGGACTATTTTTTGTGGGACGGAAGGAGTATATTTTACAAATTATAATGTGAATTTTCTTTTTTTAATGGTGGATAGAGTATAACAATTTATCACTCGGGCACGAGGTCTATATGCAGATGCAATGATCAGGCATGGTTAGGTACATTGCATAATACCAGCTCTTAAGTCTTAACTTCTTGGGCCATAGTGTATCTTATCTATATCTTGGATGTAGGGTTTGATTTTTACTTAAGACGTACGGATGTTTTTGTTTTTGGGTGATTCTTTTCATTCTAAAAGATGGCATATGGAAGATATTTTCGATATTTGTATGAATTTTCACGTAACATGCGTCTGCTTTATGAATTGACGCGCGAAAAATGAAAAACGAAACGCGACAAAAGAAGAGAATATATTTTAAAAATTATTCCCACTATTCCAATTCAATAGATTCATTTAGACATAAACGAAGATTAAGAAAAAATGGGTAATATAGTTTATGTAGTTAATTTTAAATAAAATTCCTACTACACCCTTATTAATAACTAATGAATTATTATAGTTGATATGAGAGAGTAATAGTTGAAATTAATTAAATGTTCTTGATTTCAGTGAACGTGGGAAGGGTATATTAAAGAATTTATAAAAAAAAAATTAATTAATTGTATGAAGTGAGACTAAGTTTTGAAACATCTCAAAATAAGGAGTGAGCCCATGAAAATGGAATGGAGAGAGTAGACAGAGACATACCAGTTTTGAACTTGTCATTTGACTTTACTATTTATGTACAGACAACCGACAATGAAGCCGATTGAATTGAATTCCTTTGAAAATGTCGATCTTTGTGTGAACTTATTTTCACTGGTTGTATATTTTTTCTTCTAAAATAATTATCTTATTAAAATTTTCATTTTTAATACTAATATTAATACAATTAGTATTAGAAATAAAAATTCAAATATATCAATTATTTTAAGACGAAAAGAAGGAGTATACTTTTGAAGGAAAGGAAATAAAAATTCCAATTGAAATTGGGTTTGAGCTAGGTAAAAACGTGTTCATCCAAAGAAAATCTTGTAATTAAGAAGAAGTTCGTTGGCAGAAGCGAATTGGGTGCAGACGATTATCTATCATCAGTTGGTCAGATTACTACAATATAGTACTACTTAATTTAATTAGATCACGGGATAAGCTCAGCATCAGAGAGAAGAAGCTCTCCCCAAACAATGAACTATTTTTACAAATAAAAAATCTAACCAACCCCTTTTGAAGAAATGATCATCCGACAACAGAATAATCAAAATCAATCAAGCCGTACCTTTCCCCCTCGATCTTTTATTAAGGCCAACTGCACCTCATTTTTAGGTGTATGATGCCCCAACTCTTTTACTTTGGGACAAAACCTCATATGGACTCCAAAGGCTTATCGGTACAAATGAAATACAGAATGCGTTTTTACATCCTGCGGTTCGCGAAATCGACGTCCAATTCTTAGCTCTGAGCTTGGACATGAAATTATAGATTTGAAGGGATTCCATATATAAAATTATAACTAAAATCATACGTCGCCACTTTATCCAATTTTATCATCAATTGCCATCTCTTGAATATTGGCCAAACCCTCCTGGCTGGTTTTATCATCTGTGCTTCGGGCCTTTGGCAGCTGAGCTCGGATTTTGGTATGTAACTAGTGTTTCTCTGTCTCATAACTGACTGGTTTCATGTAATAGCTTCTAATGTGTATTAAAAATTTAAAAAGTATAAAATTCATAAGTTTTATTCTCTGTCCATTCTAAAAATAGTGGACCAAAAACAGTATAATATTACATCCGTCCCAAAAAAATAGTCCACATTGAGTTTTCAAACTTGTATTAAAAATAGTACAAAACTCAAAACTCAATATGAACTATTTTTGTGGGACGGAGAGAATAATAAAGTAAAGACAGTTTTTCTGAGCAAAAGGAGTACTATTTTTTGCGCTGGTGAACATCTTCTAAGTCAATTTGATGCTTGTTAAATTTTATGGTATATTTTTTTGGAAAGATTAAAACGCTCCCCTTTGTCTTGAAATCATTGCCATTTTGGAAGCATATTAACTCAGAAGACAGACTTGGAAAGTATAATTCACGGAAAAATCGACTGATTTATCCAAAGGTTAACATGCGTTGTCAATTCTACCTTATTCTTTTTTGATTAGTCAATATTACCCTAAGTTATCCTACCGTTAGCCGATTTTGTCCAATTGGCCAATTTCCGTTTAAATTAACGGAATTCTGTTAGTTTTAATTATAAAAAATACCCTAATAGTTTTGAAAATTATAAAAACGACCATAAAAATTTGTAAAAATAACCAAATAGTCTTTTTACACTTTTTATTTAATTTTTTCTGTTTTTTATTTATTTTAATTATTTCTCATAACTATAAAAAATATATTATATGATCTTTTTAATAAAAAATTATTTATTTTTAAACACTACTGTGCAAATTTATAGATATGTATATTTGTAATTCATGGTTGATTTACATAAACATATTAATTTTTTAATAATATAACTTGACAATATTGATATTAGTTTTTTTAATCCTTTTTTCAATTTAAAGAATAATATTTTTTGACTAAAAACTAATTTTTTATAAAAAAGTAAAACATTTAGCATAGATTAAAAATTAATATATTAATACATTTTAATTTATTACAAATTGAATAAACAAACTATAGATTGCATTATCCAATTCAAAAATTTACTAAACTAAAATATAGTGTACAATCTAGTGTTTAGGGTGTTGAGCTTCATGATAGTAGATATAAGATTAATTCTCACAAAGAATTTTTAACCGGGAGAGTGATTTTATCCACATTTATGCATGGTTTACTAAACGTGAGAGGATTGAGTTGGATGGTCAGGTGATTTAAGATGGGACATGATTATTACTGTGTTCGAGGCCTCAATTCTCATTGGGGCGATCTTTTTTCTTTTTTTAAAGGTGGAGTCCAGTACTGGAGCAGATTTTTTTTATTATTATTAAAAACAAATTTCTTGCTAAAGTTAGATGTTAATATCTCAAAAAAGTTATCACGAAATGTTAAACTCTCGCAATGATAAATATACATATTTTTATAAAATATTTTGTACTATTTTTTTTTACTTTGTGTTTATACTTGGCCTCTTAAAGAAAATGTATATTTTAGTTTAATTATTTTTTTTAATTTTACAATACAACCTAAATTCTGTTAAATTATATTGTAATAATACATTAAAGTATACCAATAAAAAATATTTAATCTATGCTAAATGTTTTATTTTTCGTGCAAAATTAGGTTTAGTTAAATAATCTTATTTTTTAGATTAAAAACATAATATTATTACTGTTAAACCATATTATTAAAAAAATAATATGTTTATGTAAATCAACCATGAGTTACGAATATGCATATCTATAAATTTGTGCAATAGTGTTTTAAAAATTAAAAAAAAAATTTAAAAAGATTATATAATATATTTTTATAGTTATGAGAAATAGTAAAAAGAAATAAAAAACAAAAAAAATTAAATAAAAAATGAAAAAAAGACTATTTGGTTATTTTTACAAAGTTTTGGAGTTATTTTTATAATTTTCAAAACTATTAGGGTATTTTTTGTAATTAAAACTAACGAAATTTCGTTAATTTAAACAGAAATTAGCAAATTGGACAAAATCGACTAACAGTTAGATGGTTTAAGATAATATTGCCTAACCGAAAAAGAATAAAGTAAAATTAACAATGTATGTCAACCTTGAGTAGATCGGCCAATTTTTCCTATAATTCACAGTAGCTCACGCTACAAGGAAAGAAGAAGTGCCAAAAGTATAAAGATATTAATTTGGAGTTGGAACTTACCATCATATTTTACCACCACAATCAAATTATATCCCCATCAAAATTAATGAAACAATCTACTGTCCACAATCCACAGAAATGTTTCCCTGAAAGTTTTGAGACTTGACAAAGATGACAGCGTACATGTAATGCTCCCGCCGTACCATAAAAATAATCAACCTTGCTAACAAAGAAACTAAAATGTCTATAATCTGAGTTTTTCAGTAATTCACTTTTCTCCCGTAAAATTCACCATGGCACCAATCACTATATTTTGTTTAATCTGCCATCTATTTAGGTCAAGCAATAAAAAGGCGGTAAAAAGAGAGATTTAAGTAAAGCATCAAAGCAAAGCAGACCCGACTGCATGCACCCCGTTAACATCCCCGAGAGCCTATCCGGTAAGCAGTCAAATCACTTGGTAATATGGATGGGTACAAGAGACTGGAGTCAAAGAGTATCTTTAGCCAAAAAAGATGAAATTGAGGAACTTGCTTAGCTAACTGAAACACAAAACATCTCCAAAGCTGAATGAGAATAAACAAAATGGGCTAATGTGCTGCCCCAAATCTTCTTCTTCTAGATCTCTAACCACCGTATGATCTATTAACAGGTAAAATCAGAATCGGCTTTTGGCATAAAGTAGGAAAACTCTCTACAACTTTTGATCACCAAAATACAAATAGGAAGAAGCTGCTGCTACAATTCACACCAAAGCTCTACAAATGGCAAAATAAAGCTAGCATTGTCAAGTCCTGTACTGTACCTAATCCTCCGCCTGCAAACAAGGGTCAACCACATCAATTTAGATTTCAGTGTCGGGTATCAAGAAACGATTCGCAGCAATTACAATGCATGTGAAAACCCAAAAAAAATTGCAGCAAGAAAAACAAAATTTACTTCATCCAAATTACATACTCAACTGACTAACCCATCTGTTACTCCCCAAATAAATGGTTCATTGATTTATTTATGCATCAAGGTAGATTACATTCACACAACCATTACTCTCTGAGTTGAAACAGTGCACCTCAGAGCAGAACCATCACATAGAAAGGACTGATAGTTATGGAAGAGAGGGAATATTTCCACATGAAAGATTGGGAGAGAATCAATATAATCAACCAGACAAGGTCCCTAAAAGCCAAACCAATAACCAGGCGGCCTACCTACTTAATTCCATAGTATGACCATCTGCAAACCTACTCAATGCTGCAACAAATAATATGTCAACCATGACCACAGAAATACCAAACTTCTGAAGTGGCAAAGCCACAAATTTTGCAGACTTAAAATTACATGAACTGAGCCTTCCACTAATTGGATGATGGCAAAAGGAAAGTATTTCTTGTACTGATAAAAAAAGTCCACTCAATTGCATAACCCAGGATGAAAAGTCCAGATAATTCATGGGCCTCAAAAGGAAAATCTAATGCCATTTAATTGCAATTTCTGCTTCCCCCAAAAAAGTTAATGCTCATTCCTTGAAATTTCAGCAACTGACAGCAGCAATAACAATGTCATACATGATCTTAGTGTGTTCCTTAAATACATGATTGTTAGGCTTCCATCAATTTTCTCATGTATGCTTCTAACCAAATTTGACTAAACGGACCCTATGGCGTCACTGTACCATATGCATGTAAGGCAAGGAAAGATATTAATATCACAATAAGATAAAGCTGGAGGAGAATCTAGGATGCTTCAGAAAACAGGTGTATTAGTTGCCTCAAACAACTTCAGTGTCCACTATACAAGCCCTTAATGTCCTTCGTCAAATGTGGTACTTAATAAAGAAAAGAGTTTTGAGTAATTCTTTATGAAGAAAAGAGTCACACAGAAAGCAAATGTAAACAAAAAAGAGAGTGAAGGAATGGCCAACAGAACAGAATGTAAAGAATCAAACAGGACAAGATTACATACCATGGCAAGAACCATTGAGAAGTACAATGTCAATTTTACTCAGAAACTCCAAAAAGCAAAAGCCATCACGTGAATGCAAATAACTCATGAGATGCAGTTTCTACATCTGCACAAGCCAATCAAGTATGAGAAGGTTAAAGAACAGAGTAAAATAAGAAACCTCATTCCGGGAGGGGGTTGGGGGGAAGGATTTTAAGAAGAAATCAATTGATTACTGGGTTGGCCTAAAGAACAAAAGTTAAGTGAAATAGAAACAAAGAAGAGCCTAAAGGAAATTATGTCTTCCAGAAATATTACCAGAATCATACGTCACCCTTGGGCTTCTTCCCCGTTATCATCTGGAATATCTGCAGACCCCGACTAAATGCTTCATTGAATAAGATCCTTGTCTGCATTGACTGGAATCCAGGTAACCAGGAAAGAACTGCCACTGGAACCAAGACAATAACTGCGAACATGATATCATACATGCGAGCCACAGAAACTACTATGCCCCAAATCCTGGTTTTCTGCAGGATGGGTCGCAGAACTTGAGCAATTGAAATGAATCCCCAACCAGTAGGAACGAAAGCCAACAAGCTTGTGAATAAATCCACAAACTTAAAATGAGTAAATTCCAGCAAAGCAACAATCACAACAATGGCCAGAATAATAACAAGAAACTGCACCAGACGATAATAAATGTGTTCCTTCGCTGAGTATTTGTCCCGAGCATATGCTATAATCAAATATAGTCCAAGAGCAACCACCACATATATCCAGGAGAGCAAGTAAACCAGAATACTCTTGCTTCCAGCAGCAATACCAAGTTGATACACAATCCCAAACTGGAAAAAGAAGAAGCGCAGGTCCAAAATCACTTCTAACACTTTTCCCCAAAAGCCAGTTGTCCTCAGATGATCCTGTTCCTCATACCACCATTTTTCCCAGCTCTGCTCAGCTTTGGCAAACACACCGCCTCTGTACCATATCCAGTTCATAAAATCATCAAAATCATAAACAGTCTTCAGCCAATCAAATCCAGAAGGATTGAATATAAATGGTGCTAATATCCATGACACCACAAGGAACCAACTTGTGATAGTGAGGGCAATATATACAAAGGTTCCCTTGGCAATGGGGCTGTATGAAGCGTAGACTGTGAGAATGAGACCGAGCTCAATGGCCTTCACAAAGTGGCTACGAGCATATAGTCTATAATTCTCAGCAAAACTTTTATGCTGCACAACAAACCCGCGACCTGTTGCCCGATATTTAGCACCGCCATGAAGAATTGTTCGTCCAAAATAATGTGCACGGGTTCCCATAGAGAATGTGTAGAACACAGATGATAGCTGGAGCTGCATAGTTATAAATTCCCAGACTGCATTAAGGAAACCATGCTCAAGAGAGTTCTCCACAATCATTGGTAGGGCAGTAAAGATACCCAGTTGAATGATGAACTGCTGGTTCAAGATTGTGGCCAGTGCTCTGTTATTGCTTGTATTGCTGCTGGTAACAGAACCCTCTACCCCACTAAGAGCCAAATACAGCCGGCCCCACAAAAATGCATACACAGTGAGGACAATCATCATGGTATTGAAAAAGAACCCCACAGTGGTGTAGAAGAATGAAAGCATCCTGAAAAAATCCAGTCTGTGACCCAATCTGTAAACATCCCTGCTTAGGACTTGCTCACCGTTCCCACTGGCTACCTTGGCTTCAAACATGGATACTTGATTCAATCCAACATCTCTCCCCTTGCCAACTTGAATGTACTCATGGTGAGTGACATTCCCTCCTCGCAATGTGCAATTGAAGCCGGCAAAAATATCCTCACTGATGTTGATAACTCGTGAAGCTTTGCTTATGCCTCCTCGAGTCATGAACCAGAACCTATCGAATACATCTGGATGGCCATAATGCATTCGTATTTTTAAAGGATTAGCCAAAACGCGTTGCCCCAATGTGACAAAACTCATCTCCTGGGCAGACATAAACCATGCGAGCGATGAAACAGAGCCAGTGAAGATGTGCTCCCGAACTCCGAGAATTGTTGGCTTCCTGATACCATACCTCCATCTGAATTCCTCTAAAAGGTTCCTCATTTTCAGGGCTTCCTCAAAGTAGTTGTCTTGGTTCATATCTATGGTCTGAACCGCATCTCCCCTGGTAAAGATAAAAGCATGGTTCTGATTTTCTGGTTTTCCCTCTCCAAGCTTCACCAGACCAGGTAACTTGACCCGATAGATCTCAACTTCTTTTTTCAATTGTTGGTCATACTTCACGAGAACTGAGTAATACTCGGTCTCCTCTCTACCAACAGGCACCTCATCCACATAAGCAACCCGAAGGGCTTCATTGTTTTGCATCAAGTACAAGATATCTTCAGCACGGGCATCTTTTTTGGCCTTTTGAGCTCCATAAATCTGGCATGCAACAACATAAGTGAATTTCATCAGAGCAGTCCCATACTCGTGTCCTTTAAATAACAAACTCACTGAGCTACTTGATCTGCTCAAACTTCTGGTAGCAGCAGACGTTCCTCGACCTGAAACATCCATGCTGTCATCACGTCTCATGGAACCAAGTTCATGTGTTCCTTCCCTGATATCCATCTCCGATGCAGAATCTAAGAAGGCTAACATTTTGAGTGCTCGATAGTAGTACATCATTCCTCTCACAGTGCGTGCAAGAGTCTGGCCTCTATATGACGCCCAAAGCCGAAGCTCCCTTAGCTTGGTCGTCCACAGCTCCTTCTCACTCGTCATTCCTTCTCGTTTCATCCTCTCTATGAAATTTTTCCAATCATCAGGATAAATAGTCTGCAGGTAATACAGAGTAGAAATCCCATCTTCATTCTCAGTGCGAAGTTGCTCCTTATTGTAAAGCACTTCTTCATTGTAGTAAGGTGTCAAAACACTGAAAGCCATCATCTTCTCAACTTGCGGAGCATGGGGCATGTTCATAAACAGTGAATTGCTGAAGAACGCAATTCGGCGTCTGGCCTCAAGATTAGTTGGAACTTTGAGCATTGAATCTTGAGATGTAAGAATTGTGTGCAAGCGACGAGCCTGGCGGTAAAATGTTTCATTCTCCAGACCGGGTAACTCAACAGAATTCTCAAATAGCAGGGCGGAGCTAGAATCCCTCTGTGGAGCCAAGCCATCCTCTCTCAACTGATCAGCACTCCTTTTCTCTTTCAGAAAATCCCGAATAGCAGTCTCATAGAGAGCTTGAAGAGCATTGACAACTTTGTTGACATCAGGCTTCGGTTTCAGCACTAAATCAAGAAGTTTGACGAGCTTTTCATGAATCTGTGGAAGTGCTTTCATGTTGTAGTTCTTTGTGAACTTCTCCATCTGAATCCACTGGTCGATCTCCTGGAAGAAGGTCGTGATAATTAGATGTTCTTCATTGTGGCGTTTGACAATTTCCAATAGGAAGTGCCTCACACTATCATAAGCTTCAATGACAGCGCAACGCCGGTACTCAATCTTGGATATCTTATACCAAAGCCACCTGTCAGGGGCATCCACCAGTTCCTTTGCTTGGCTAAGAGCAAGCAACAGCTCATTGCAGAGAAGCAAACATGGCCAACGAATCACCCTAACATTCCATGTATTCTGGGGCAATTCCAACAGCTCAACCTCATGATCATTAATGATGTCTTCCTCCCGAAATGTCAGGATAATCTCATTCCATATCAAAGCAAATTTGTTTGCCTCAACCTGATTGGATTCAAGCTTCTTGAACGGCCGGCCAAACCCATACCGTAGCTTCAGTCGGTTGATGGCATCATGGAACTTACTCTTGAGAGTACCTCTGGCATTCAGCAGCTGCTCTTCAGGCATCAAATTGAATTGAATTGCACTAGCAAAAAACTGAAATCTCAATCGTAAATGCTGCATGTCCCGAATCTCACCCAAGTGATCAAACAAACCAACAGCTGCTCCGACAATGGAAGAATAGATTGAATACCATATCTGAATATCCATGAAGTAAATAACAAGGACAGGGAGCCATATTAAACCAACTGCTAGCCTGTTGCTTCCGTGAAAAAATTGATGCCACTCGTAACTGACATTTTTTAAGTTCAACAAAGCCTTGGAAGGAGCAATCATTGGTTTTATCTGCATAAAGTAACTGAAGGCAAATTTTGTGGCAAGCACCACAATCCAAAACAGAGTGTACTTTATGTTGTCAACCAGCCCTTCCCTCAGTCCCCTACCCACAAATGTCCGGCTCTGAAACCACCAGGAAAGCAAATAGAATATCCTCCAATTGGTATTCTCAAGAAAATTGCGAACCCATGGCACTATGAACAGAACTAGGGCCAAAAGCTCCGGGATGATAAAAACTAGAGCGACTTCAAGGAAATTCAAAATCCTATTATTTGCTGCTCTAGACCACCTGCGATCAGCATTCCTTTGTGTCCAAATCCTTGCATAGAACACCCCAAAAATCACAATCCAGACAGCAGCCACCACAGTCTTCAAGATCATCCTCACAGCAAGCAACTTGGTCTCCCTAGATACCAACCTATACTGCATACCAGCATCAAGCAATGACTGCAAGAACCTCAATGCACTCCAAGTGAAAAATACAGTCAAAACTTTCACTTGGACATCCCGGCTCTCCAATGCCTGCCATGGATACTCCTTCTGCTCCCACGCCACAATAATTGCAGCCTGAATAAACAAGATCAGCATAATCCAGAGCTTGTCGAAGCTCCTAAACAAGTTCCAAAAGGATCTCTGCTCGACAAAGCCTGTCTTGCCAACCTTCTTTCCCCTATTCGTGGTGACGAAGAAGGTGCTCCCAGTATCAATTGGCCATTTCATCTTCTCTAAACACCTCCTACTCCAAAAATATTCATTTATATCATCATAGTTTCTCCAAGCTGAATGAGGAGCAGTCCCATTTCTACTATTGTCGACCTCAGCCTTAATCGTCTCATAGATGGGCTTAACAATTTGATTCAGAAAAGCATTTTCACCCGAAACGGAAGGCAGAAAAGGGCTTCCAGTATTTTCATCAATATAGTCCTCTAAAATCTTGTTCAATTCCATAGCCATGTTATGGAAAATATAACACAAACATTCAGGGGTAAACCGTAGATTAGCAGACTCACCCCAGATCAGCAAGTAGAGAGAGACATACAGCAGCTCGCGCCGGTGATCGGAGCTCCGGTCAGAGAGCCAGACGTTCGATTTCAGCCGCAGGAAGGAGCACCAATTGGAGTAATTCTTGAGGAGCTGCCGCCGGAACTTCCGGAGAACGGTGGGGTCCAGCGAATCGATGTTGTCCGGCGGCGGAGAGAGCCGCATCTGGGCGTTGGAGAGGTGCAGGACGAGATGTTCCCGCTGGTTCTTCACATTGGAGGCCTGGAACCCGAAGAACAGCGCAAGCCAATCCAGCAAGTCGTAGTGAGGGAGCCAGGTCGAATAAGGGGGTCGCCGGAGGTCACCCACGGACCGTAAAGCAGCCGCCGCGGCACGTACTTCCGGGAACCGGAGAGAAGGATGGTCTGCTAAGAGATTGTGTACTGGAATGATGTTGTAGACATCCTCCTCCTCCCCCCGTGGCTGCCGCCGTGGTGGTGGTGGTGGAGCGGATGCGGGGTTCTGAGCTTGGCGGTAAGGTGGCGCGCCGGCTTGAGCCGGCGGCGGCTGATGCCGTTGACGGTGGTTGCTCATTCCAACAACATAAACGGCAGGTGAAAATGCGGAATCTGAGCCCTAAAAATTCTGGGTTTTGGGGGGCTGAAACAAAGAAGAAGAAGAAAAGGCAGGGTGATGGATTTGGCCTTTGGGCGGGGAAAGCGCGTACAGCGCGTGGGATTTTTGGGTTGTGAGTGGGGGATTTGGGGAAAGTGGGACCCGGTTAAGGTTCGTTTTATGGATTTATTTCCCCGGACAGATTTTTTTGAAATTTTTTGAATGTTCGAAAAGGAAAATGAAGGTTTGATTGCGATATTTTAAAGGGTTTGTTTTTACGGCGAGAAGCGTTTTGTTGTACAGTACCGTTTGGTTTTTGGATTGAGAATCCGTTAATTTGGATGGAACTTGAGATTTGTCGTAACGGCCATTCAGGGTTTATTTTTGAAAAATTATTTCTCTCTGAAATTCTACTTATTATTAGGAAAAGTGATAATGACAGATTTGGCTGATTGCACATTCCTTTTTTAACTTTTGGGAGTATCAATGTCATAAAGGCCGTTGCAATTTGGCTTTCCCATCTTTAACCTTTTTTTAGAAAAAAAAGATCATTAACATTAATTTCTTTTTTTATGATGCCAAAAAAAAAAAAAAAGGTCGTCATGTCGTACGGTCCTTAGCTTTATTGTTATACATAAACCCTCAACCATTTTCGTAAATCATTAATTGAAGTTACATAGAATAAAATGAACTACTCATTTATCAGAAGTCAGAGCTCAAACCGTTGCAAATGTAGTAAAACACATAAGGACAATCATGCAGTGATCTGAACACAATTATGTATCAGAAAAGAGGAAAAATTGTAGTCTTAGCTTAGTTAAAATAACTCGTTATACCTTATCATTTTAGTTCTTTTTTTCGTCAAGTAATTATATTGTTAAGTGATTAAGAACAAAAAGCAAATGATATTAGGGTATTTATTTGGTAATAAGGGTAGGTTTAATTGAAATAAATACACGATTCCTTTAATCAGTCTTAAAATAAACCCTTTTAAGAGTTATTATTATTAATCTGCTAAAATTAAAAATAAATTATCATCACGGTGAAAGTAAGTAACTGGGAGTTGCAAGTAGATCAAGAATAATACTACTAGTTGATTAATTAAATAGTTGCTACATCATCTTTATTGAGCATGTTACCTGTTATCGTCCCTTCCTCGTCTCCATGTCTACATGCAGCCCTCTTGCCATTTTTCCTCATATGTGAATGTCTCTTTTTTTTCTCTCTTCTTTTTCTAAAAAATTATAATAATTAAATAATTCACCAGTAGATCTTCCAAGTGGCAATCACATCAACGAACATTTGAAGTCGGATTTAATTCCATTCTTTTTTTTTTCAATTCTCTTTCTTCTAGTCCCACAAACCGCTCACAAATGAGCATTTTGTGACTGTTTAAAAAGGTGTTACTTTTTCAAGTCACTAACTTTATTTCTTATAGTCACAAATTTCTAATTTGGACTATTTTGACTCCTATTATTTTTTCAAATCAAATAACTTGACTAACGAGAAAACTAAAAGAAAAAATTAAAAACTAAAAAAAATAAAATAAAAAAACCGACCGACCGTGCAATGAAACTGTCCCGAATTAACCCGAGACGGGTTCATTGCTCGTCCCGAGTTAATTCGGGACAAGTTCATGGCTCGTCCTGAGTTAACTGGGGACGAATTCATTGCTCGTCCTGAGTTAACTCGGGACAAGTTCATTGCACGGTCGGTCCTGGTTCGGTCCGATATGATAAACCGGTCAGGTCAGGCTCATTTTTTTATTTTTAGATTTTTGTTTTTTTTTGGTAATTAAAAAATATCAGTATTTGTTATTTAAAAAAGTCTAAAAATTTAAAAAATTATCAATGGGATTCATTGCTATTTTTTTAATTTTTATATTTTTTGTTTTTTTTTTGTAATTAGTTAATCTAGTTTTTAGTTCATTAAAATCTTTATTCATTAAATTTATAAATAATTTATTATTTGAGTTATATTAAGTATCATCAATCTTTGTAGTACAAAAAATAGTTAATCTGTTTGCAAATATTTGTCATAATCTTTGTAGTACAATTATTATTTTTTATTATAAATGTATAATTATTATTTTTAACTAAAAATTATCTTAAAAAATAATGATTGAAGCAAAATTTTATATTTTAATATCAATTAAAATAAATTAACTTAACGAATAATTTTAAATTTTTTTCAAATAACATTAATTACTTGTTTATTTTCAAGTAAATATAAAGTTGAGAGTTTAAGTACTAAAATATAAATATTGTTAATAATATTTAAAGTACAAATTATTCAACATGCAATGATATTGCGAATAAACTAACATTAAAATAAAAATTAATAATTTGTCTATTCTCACGTAAATCAGATTGGATGACTTGCCCAGTTCAGTCCAAATGGCTTATTCTCTCTCTCTCTCTCTCTCTCTCTCTCTCTCTCTCTCTCTCTCTCTCTCTCTCTCTCTCTCTCTCTCTCTCTCTCTCTCTCTCTCTCTCTCTCTCTCTCTCTCTCCCCTTCAATTTGGTGCGATCAAATGGCAGGAAAAAAATGATCAAAATTAAAAATTTGTGGCTGAAAGAACTAAAGAATGGAGTTACCATAAATGGTATTTTTTTTTGTCAACAGTAAAAGGATTCGCATTCCATCATCAACTCTGTTCTGTACAAATTAGCACAACCTCACTATTATAACGCATTACTCATCAAACTATATTATAAAAATAACGCCTTTACAATTGCCTCTTCTGTTCTACTAAATTTCTCATAACAAAAACAAATTCTTACCCTTAGTTCTTCTTTGATAAGTTGCAGCACCTGCCCTTCTGTCTTTCTTCTCCAAAACAATCTTCGATTTCTCTCTTCCCATATATGGTATATTGCAGCCATTATCGCAGCTAACGGAATCTTCCTTTTCATTTTGGCAAATCTCCACACATTCTGTAACTCCATCTTCCACATCATATTCCTTCCTGTCAATCCCTTGATTTCAGAAAAATGACGAAAATCCCCCCGAATTATGTCCCAAAGACTAATACCACCTCAACCTTTGGTATAGGATAATTACCCCCCTTGACCGCCAGTCAACGGCATAATTGACCCCCCAGGACAAAAATGACAAAAAATATGTATGTAATGACCAAAATACTCTTTTCCCCTTAAAAGAAATTTTTGTGGACAAATTTTACCCTTTTACAAAAACCTATTTTGTTTAACAAATCGTCAAAAGATTTATTTAAGGATAAAGCATTTACTAATTTTTCTTAAAAAAACTACTTTTTTGAAAAAAAATTAATTTGAGTAAAAACTAATTTATCTATGGAAATTTCTTTTTTTAAAAAATGATGAACTTTCAACCATATTCTGCATTCATTTTTAAAAAATGGAAAATTTTAAAACATGAATAATGTTAAAATTATGTTTTTTTGGATAGATTAGATCTTTTTTTTTTTGAAACAAAATTCAATCCTAAATAAATTTATTTTTTACTAAAATTAATTATGTTTTTAAAAATGATTTTTAACAAAAATTGGTGAATAATGTTCCTAAATAAATTGTTCAAATGATTTGTTAAACAAAATAAGCCATTGAGAAAAAAGAAGATAAAATATGGAGCAAAAAATTAGTTTTAGGCAAAAAGGTATTTTTGTCATTTTAGTTCTCAGAGGGTCAATTATGACGATCAAGAGAGGTAATTGTCCTTATAGCAAAGATTGTGGTGGTATTAATCTTTGGGATATAACTCGAAAGTTTTGTCCTTTTCCCCTTGATTTCTAGCCAGCCTTTGATCCCTTGTAGAACATTATCTGCATAGCAACAGTCAAAAAATAAATGCTGCAAGCTCTCATTCTAATTCTGACAGAGACAACATTGGCTGTTAATGGTAATTTGGGTGATATAGTTATACCAAATTTTAACAGGTTAAACTAGTTGAATGTGTGTTCAATTTATTGATTATAGTTTCACTAGTAAAAAAATTTGTTCCGATAAAAATTAAACTGTGACTCTGTAATAATATACATTTCACTCGTGATACCTATACTAACACCCTGTTCCTCTTTTTGTTGTGGCTTGCTGTAATTTTTTTTCACAAGCATAATATTTTTTTTCTGTTCAAAATGATGTATTAAAATAAAAAGTTAAACAAATTAGTTACTATGTTGAAACAAAAAAAAAAAAAAAGAAAGTGAAAGATAGAATTACAAAATACGACATCCACGTTGAATATCCCATGGTAGGGTCTTTCTAAATAGAAATAAACACATTTAAATAAGGTTTAGATTGAGCTACATAACTCTTTAGAAACTATACTTTATTTCTTAAGTCAACCAATGAAACATGCTTCTCATCCATTATACTTCATGAAAATTGTGATGGAGGGCCAAAATCAAGACAATTATTTGAGATATGATATCAACTCAGAATAAAAAACAAGACAATCATTTTAAGATATCAAAGGATAATAATATATTTAATTCCCATTCTCAAAATAAATAAATATATATATATATTTACTTCCAAATTAAGGTCGTCACATTATATCTTGATGATGACATACAGATAATTGTCCCAATTTCTCTCATTTCATGATGATTAAATTCCGAAAAGTCATTTATAGGAAGCTTTGGTCGCATACTTGGAGGCTGAAACCGTAAAATAGATAGTTTAAATCAATTTGATTAGGTACACAGTTTGGCGCAGTCAATAGATTAGTCAAGAAGAAAACTATACTTTGAAGAAAATTAAACTCTTAGCGCGTGTAGGTGGCCAAAATTGGACCTGCAATTTTATTTTATTTTTTTTACCTTCTTAAAGAATTATAAAGTATAATTTAAAAAACTCCAAAACATAACTATTGATTTTAACGCCTTCCACGTTATAATTGTGGTTAATGAAGACGCGTCGGCCGGAAAAGTTGGTAAATTTTTCATTTATTTAACTCCACATTTATAAATATATGTGGAAAAATACACTTTAATACCTAACGAAATTTGTTCCATACAGTTCATACTTCAATAGAACTTTACCACTTTTTTATTTTCTTTTTTTTTTTTGTTGAGGGGAAAAAAACCTTTATCACCCAACTATAAGAGTCGTTCATTTTTCTTTTTCTATGTTGAAACCTGGTACATATGAAATTGGAACTTCTTTCATCAATCTGTCAGTTGTTTTTCACGTAAATGGAATGCAAATTTAGTAAATAATCATAACAACATGCTTAATGGCCTTAGACGAGGCATCTCAATTGGGGATAGCACATGTGAACTGATTGTGAACTTCTTACCGTGGACCTTTGTTCATCACTGGTACCGGTAGAGGCACAACAAAATTGTTCAATGTTTAAATCGTGTAATCGATAGTTTCTCGTCTTGTAAGTTACTTAAGGTTGATCGAGACCATATACCTGAACTTCATAATATAACGTATAATCGGATGAAATGTAATAATAAAGGTACTTTTCATTGATACAGGTACCTTTTTCAAAAAGAAAAATAATAATAACAACAAAAACAACAGGGCCAATCTAATATCGCAGTTTGTCAATTGGAGTTATAGATCACTAAAATTTGAGAGAATTTCAACTTTCAAAAAATATATATCCGAGTCGTCAAATAAGAATTAGTTTGAGTAGCGTATATTCTTACTTAAAAATGATCTCACGTAGTTCTTATATTAAAATAAAAACCAAAAGACAAAAGGAAAATCGCTTCCTGGTATGTACTAGTATATTTCCAAGCTCTAACATTTCAATTAAATCTAATCAAATTTGTTTGGCATATGTTATTTTATGGACTATAGATACTGTTTGGCGGGATTAAAATTTGAAAGTTACTCGATTCGACACATTATCATTGTATATTAATACAGTACTACTACACACTTGTCTTAAAATTTTTTGTTTTTCTTTGGGAGGATGATTTCTTGTTCTTAGGAATCTACGTAGTTCACTTAAGAATTAAGCTTAGACCATGTGGATCGTCAACGCAGAGGCAGATCTACCTAAGCTCGAAATTTCATTCCATCAATAATTGTGTAGAAACAGTACAAGTCATTAAGTAAACCCTTAAAAAAAAAAAAAAAGAAAGGATCGGGACGTACGCGTACAAGTGGTACTGAACGTGTGGAAATTAGAGTTGCATTTAGTTGTTAATGTCAACCCCAAGAACCGCGTTAATCGGTTGTTTTGTTCATATTTTGAACATTTATCATGTTTTGGCTTTCTGAAACAATCCAACCTCAAACCTCAAGACAAATTTCGTGGCCTTCAACTTGGATGTAACATCTTCGCAACTACGTGTGTCTTTCTATTTTTCATTAGCGGAATCAGAATACTCCCTCCATTTTAAACTTTGCACGTAAATTAAAAGAGACAATCATTCAACAATTAATTTATGTATTAAATATCTATTTTACCCTAATTAATTACATTGAAACTATAAACAAGACTAAATAAAAATATATTAGTACTCCCCCCATTCACAAATAGATGTCGCTGGAGAGATTTCACAAAGTTTAAAGAGGCAATAATTATCTTGTTAAAATACTATAATACCCTCATTTATTCTTAATTCAATTGTAGTCCCAATAAAATTCACTTCTAATACAATTCTACATTAAACATCACAACAATTTTCAATGTAAGGGTGATATTGAAAAAAATTGACAAAATATGCCTCGATTTGTGAGAACGACATCTATTTTGGAATATTTGGATTTTCCTCCAACGACATCTATTTGTGAATGGAGGGAGTATCATTTATTGAGGATATAGTTGGAAAAATAGTCATTAATTCGCCTATAATTTGTAAAACGACCTACATTTTGAAAAATCTCTCCAAACCTAAAACGACCTACATTTTAAAATAGAGGGAATAATGAAGTTATCCGAATTGAAAACGGCGTACGTATGACGGTATAGGGATTGAGGAATTAGGCGACATTAATTAATAAAAAATAATAAGAATATATGTTGTGACAATTTATTTCTTGAACTCTTTCACCATGTACATTCATCTTCAGTATTAACTACTGTTTGTCCCAAGGGCAACTTCACGGTTTAGCTGCTCATCATGTAAATATCTCAACGGACTAATGAAGATACAAATAAAAACTAATAAGTAATAAAGTACTTTATGCTCAACTTAATCAAACTTTGGCCAGTGATTTGTTTTATATATATATACTAGTGATGTCTGGTCGCGCAATGCGCGATCCTGGCCCAGTCTATCTGTAGATCTTAGAAATGTTTATATTTGAAAAAAATAAAATTTTGTATTTGGAGCGATATATTTTAGAAATGTTTGAAGGATTTATAAATGTTTTATAAGTGTGATCATAGAAATATTTGTATTTCGCAAAAAAAAAAAAATTGTATTTCACCATGTATGTTTTAGAAATGTTTTATAAGTGTTACTTATTAAATATAAATAGCTTAATCGAATATATGTGTTGAAGTAAATGTTAGATAAAATATAAAAGCATCCTAATAAATTTAAATATTAGTAAGATGATTTATTGACGTTCTCCATTGGTCGTGCCAAATCAATACTTAGTTTTGGAGATTTTTAATAGTTTTGTAATAAGTTTCATCCGAAGGGTATACGCTTAAAACAAAATTGACACTTTGTAACAAAAAACCTAATTGATCAATTCAATTTAAAAAACCACTTTAGTTGAATGAAGCATAAAGAAAAAATTAAAAAAAAAAAACGTGTCACGTAAAGTGCAAAGGGAGATTTAGTAATTTAGTTATGGTTAGACAAAAGGGCAATTTAGTATTTTCTACGTGCCACGTGGCAATCATATGAGGTGTTTGAAAGGGAGATTTTTGTTTCTAATATAGTAGGATATATATATATATATATATATATATATATATATATCTTGGTTGCTTAATCTTATCTTTTATTATTATACTACTTGTGTCTTAAAAAAAAAATAGTTCATATTGAGTTTTGTGAATTTATATTATTTTATAGTACAAATTTAGAAGTTAAATATGAACTATTTTTTTAGTACCTCTATTTTTTATTTTTATTTTTTTAAATAATGGCATGTAAGGCAAAATCATAAATTAGACAGTTATAAATTGAAGGCTTCTCGCTTGTTAAAGCGCAACCGAACTGAAACTGTCACTTTTTGTGAAGTTTTAAATCTGTGATAAAATTTGTCTCACCATAAGTTTTTACGATCTTTTGATTAACATTTTTTTCCCCTCTAGTAAACCCCGAATGAGGTGCTTTAAGGTTGCTACATACTACAGTTTAAGATTGTCATAAATTAATGTTTCAAAGACCCACTTTCTCTCGTAAGTCGGGGGGAGACCTGTGGCCTCATAGGGTTACAATTTGGGTATGCAATAAGCAAACATCAGAATGCAATATTAATCCTCGAGACACTTTAATTCGTAGCGTCTCTTCACTTTGGTATCTGCGCGTGCCCAATCAATGGAGAATAAAACCTCCAATCTAATCTACTGCAGTATGCTATTTTGGCTTTGTTCCAGTGGCGTCCCGAAAAGAGTAGGACCACATCCATTTTCACAGTAACTAATACTACTTGTTCATGTCCTGCGTTAACTCTGAGCGAATGCATGAAGACGGAGAGACGCTTGTTTTCGATCATTTGCTTGCACACAAAAGGTAAGACATAAGGAAAGTCAAATGGAAACAAATCAGACACTAAATTTAGCTCAGCAGCAACAAATTCAGATGTTGGCTAGCAATCATCAGCATTTTGTCTCCCCTTTACAACCGTTGTGTATTCAGACATTTGATGCCGAAAACGCTACCATCATCCACTGGGTACTCACACAATACATATCAATATATCATGATACATGAGAAACTCTCCCAGCCATTGCGTGAGTAATACCTACCATTTTCTACATGCAAGCCTCACCCAAGATAAACGGAAACTGTTGTTATAGACAGATTTAAGAAAATAAACCAGGGCACCAGTGCCTGGGACATAGAGAAATCTAAAATCAAAACTCTAGCCAGTTTTACGGCAGCAATACACCGACAAACGAGACATAACCACCAACATAAAAGGTCAGTAAAGAGATGACAAACTAATACCTCGCACCTCTTTTGTTCCCTATACATGCTTAAATTGCATCATGACCAAATGATCCTTTATTTGAAGCAAATTGAAACTACCACGTACCCTAGACTGGCAGAGTTGGGTTGCGTACTTAACCAGACCATCCCCTCTGAGGGCCTCCAGAAGAATGTCCATTCAGTCTATCCAACACGGCATTAAAATCCACCGGTTGGCCACTTTCCTCTAGCCTTTGAATTACTCCAACGACATGCTCACCCCTGAAACCCATGCTGACCAGTTTCTCAATCAATTCATTATAGGGATGGTTGCGAATGATCTGAGGACGACCACCAACTAGATTAGAGCCTGTAGCTGGCTGCATATTCTGTGGAGGCATGCTTGTCGGAGGATAAGCACTTTGTTGATAGTGCGGTGGTTGAGGTGGATGGTGCGGTCTCCCTGCTTCATCATACATTACATATGCATTCCCAGGAGAATGTGTTGGATGTGGCCCAGGAGCCGTGTACCCCTCACCCGGAGGGGTATAACTAGCCTTGATTTGCTGAGGTGGAGGCTGTGGTTGTGCTGGTCTCACAGTTCCTCCATATCCATAAGGAATTCCTTCTGGACGGACAGGACCCGGTTGAGAAATTCCAGAATATTGGACTTGCATTTGCATGCTGCTGGGTACCGTCTCTGGTGGAGTAGGAGTTTGTTGGTTCGGCAAATAGGACGGATAAACAGAAGGAGATGAGGGTCTCATCTGAGGCTGAACAGATGGCTGTTGCAGTTGTTGAACTGGCTGAGGTCCTTGAGGGGTCCACTGAGGCTGGTATTGAGGCATCGTCTGGACTTGAGGTGTCTGATTTGCTTGAGACTGAGAGGCTTGTGGTGCTATCCTAGAAAGTTCTTGCATTTGGGGCACCCGATATTGTGAATCAGGTTGCAAATATTGACCCTGAGAAGGTGGGGCTGCAGCTGGGACAGTTGGCAGCTGGGGTTGAGTCAAGTAATAAGCCTGTGACTGCACCATTCCCTGAGAAGGTAGTGGAACAGGGGCTGGGGGTGCTACTGCAGGTGGCTGCTGCTGCTGATGCTGCTGCTGGAGAATCTGTTGGGGTAGTGCAAGTGCTAATTGCTGACCATGCGCATCTGCGGTTTCATTCTTGTTGGTGTCAGAACCAGTTGTACTTGCTTTTTCCTCTTTTTGTTGTGAATTGCTTGTTAAAGAAGATTCTTTCTGTACAAGCTGAAGCTTGGCTAGTTCCTTCTGGGTATCAGCAAGTTCCTGCTTGTCTCTCAATATCTGCACAGACCTGTGCACCTGCAAGAGTAATAACAATTGTATCAATCATGGCATTGACTTAAAGTTCAAAGTTAACCAACTAAAAGCGCATCAAATAAGCACCGCAAGAAAGACAACAAATCCAGTAAATTACAAAAGCAGGGACCCTCCTCCAATTTTTGAGGAAGGAAATTGTGGTTCCAAAACAACTCGAAAAGAAGCAAAACTAAGTAGTTGCTAGACTAAATATAAAGCAAAATACAAACTGCAGATCATAATAATGCTGGTATCCAAAAGTAAAGGCTACGTCACTATCATATTACCCAATACTTTGCATCATTCCAAGGTGCCATCAGCGTTAAAGAGTATACATTTACCAAGGCAATAGATCTCAAGCCTCAACAAAGAATAAAATTACAAGTGCGCATTTAGTAAAACCTAACAAGTGGGAAGTAGAAGGATACGAAGTCATCTAACACAACTACCTCTTGCAGATGTTTCTCCAGTGATTTGAGCTTAGTATCTGCCTCTCCATTATCCCGCACTAAGTCAGCACGCATCTCTCCGATGGTTTTGTCCAAGTTATAACAATATAACTCCAGCTGAGATAAACGTGAACTGATACCCTCAAGAAAACGCATGAGGTTGTCAGCATATTTTTTCATGGTCTTCTCAACAGTCACAATCACATCTTGATTAAATGAGGATTCTTCTGGAGGGCTATATGATGTCGCGGGAAAAGCTGATGATCTTGCCATTCTGTTCTTGTTAAACTCCTGTTCAGCATAAACGGCAAGTATAATTACAATACTGAAATCCAGGTTTACCTAGTAAAAACAATTCCGAAGACCATGCACTATAATCATAGCATGATTATTTCAGTCACCTCAACCATACAAAGCAGAAATGAAATGTAAGTGGTCATCCGCCATAATTAAAGAGGCACATAGAAAGGAGATCATCCTAAGTTTCCACGAGCATTCTCAACTAATTTTAAAAAACTTCCAAGTTAAAATTTCAAAATTCAGCCATAGTAAGTGAGCTCATGAAACCATCTCATGAACTTCAAAAAAGCCATAATTCCATCTATTACAGCATTGTTGGACGTTAGCAATCGACAGTGGGGATTGCAATATCTTTTACAGCACAAATGATATTGCGACCAACAGGTACTTCAGCAATGTATTGTGTAACATGTAATCTAATCGAACAAGTAAGCAAAGAGTGTAACAAGATGAAACCCCCAAGAACCTGGAATTCTTACCTACCAAACTCAAAACCATTTCCAAACATCAAAGCGACTCAAAAAGTCAAAAGTAATCAATTCCAAATGTTTTCCCCGGCACAAAATTATAATCCATTAATCCTTCCCCTTTCCAATATACATTCAGCAACAATACTTATCTCCAAAGAACTCCAGAATCAATAAGCAACTCCCAAACCCTAAACGACCTATAAAGAAATTCAACGGAAAGCAATGGTCTAGATCTACCCAGCCTTGAAAACCGGAAAACAGAAATGAAGAGAGATTCAAAGCCCTAAAATCCCAAACAAAAAAACTGGCAAAAAACTTAACCATAACCGGATCATACCTTAGCAGAGGCAGCTCCGATGACAGGGTCAGAGTGGGTGCTGCCGTTAGACCCATCCAGATTACCATAATCTTCGTAGGAACACAGAATATCATCGGAAGCGAAATTGAACCCCTTTGACCCCGAGTTGTTCGCCCGACCCGATGATCCACCAGATGCCATGGTCAACAAATTCCTACACCAATCACCACAAAACTCAAAATACCTCGCCGAAACACAAAATTAAAATAAAAAATCGTCGATATTTAAATGTGAATTCACCGGGATCGATGTATATATGGATAAGTGTGTGAGTGTGTATTTCGGGGGAAGGAGGATGCGGTTTTTGCTTAGCTTGTGAGTAAAGTAGAAAAGAGAAGGAAGAAAACAAAAAAAAAAAAAGGGGGTTCGTCGTTCAGACCGCTAGTTCTTTCTTCGGTTTAATGTTAGTAAATTCGATAGAAATTTACACCTTCTCTGTGTGCGTGAAAACGTTTTTAAAGTGAAAGTCGTGGGGAGGAAGATAAGGATAAGTAGGAGTCGTACTAATCATGCTGACCCACCGACCTTTTTTATGGTACTTTTTTTTTTGTGGATATTGTTTAGGGATTATATACTTTATTATTTTAGATTGGTTATTAGCATTGGTAGCATATGAATATTGGATTAGAGCTTAGTCCACCACAAATAATGAAATAGTTTGTTTAATAATAATGATGATACATACACCGTGTTTGTTTCTTTCAATCATTGAAGTAGCTTTAGTCGAAAACTTATGGGGGTAGGTTTTGATTTGGGTTGACAGCCTCAACTTTGGCGTAGTTACATTTTCTTTTTCTTAGAAATAAAATTTATTAATTTACTAGAAACTGTCCAACAGCGATTGATAAGAAAATATACAATCGGAAAAATACAGCTTACAATTAACATAGTTACATATTAGGTGAGATTGTTTTATGTAATTCGCATTTTATGCATAATTTGAGTTCAACTTCTATAAGGAGTGTGTGTGATGTGACAAAACAAGTTATCAGAATCTCAATAGGAACAACTATTACGAGTTTGGACAGGAAGGGGTTTTTTTTATGAATTCTACTGTATTATATATACATATATATATATATATATTTTTATATATTTTTTTTTAATACGGAACAATTACAAATCACAAAGTGAATTATATTTTGAAAACGGACCAAGTACGCAGTAAGTCACTGAACCTCGTAGTAGCCGAAACAGGAGTACGGTTCTTTTCGATTTCCATGCATTTAGTATTCTTGGGACCTTAGACTTCACTGCTAACCAAATTCAGAGTAATTTTTCCATAAATTCATAACTGAAAGCATCCATCAATTGCAGTTGCTTTCTTTTATTTGCATAAAAATACTAGCACTTGTTTTTATAGGGGCTTGCAATTCTGCATCGATTTTGCCTCTGTCAACAACATTAGCTGAAAAATAATTAAGAACAAACAATAAAGAAGTAAATGGTTTAAATCTTAAGACTTGTACGGTCGTAAATTAATTTAGGATGATACGCCAATTACATTGCTGTCGCTTCAGTTTCCTCTGCAAACGAAACGAAGGATTACCTAAAACCAGTCAAACTTCAACATTTAGATATTGCAAAGCCACACAGAATATGAACCAACATATAACGTTGTCATGCACAAAGAGTAAGACCATAATTAATGGGTTATGCAGGGTTTTGGTATTTACTCCTAATTTATTCCATCTACGACTACAATATCAGTAATTTGTAATTTCCGATGCTTCAGTTTCTTTCCCGGAATTTTAAAAATCTTTTAATCAAGTAAGAAAATACTACAGTCAAAACTTCAATTTTCCCTGCATTTAATCTCCTCGGGACCTTTAGACTAAGCCAATCAAAATTCACAGTAGTTCATTCATGATTGAATCGTCCACTGATTGCAGCTGTTTTCTCTTTATAAATACTGGTTAACATGGGCTGCAATTTGCATCGGTTTTGCATCTGCCATCCTTCGAAAATGCCTTCAGGTCCTAAGAAAAGAAGAGCTGCTAAGAAAAAGTTGGAGTCTGGCGTCAGTTTTGACCCAACCGAGGAAACAAAACTTGGCGGTACTGTTATTTATGTATTGATGTCGTCAAATTTTCTTTGCTTGTTTTGTAATAAGGTTTCTGATTTTTGGAAGCTCAACTAATATGCATTTTGATCTTCATGACAGATGCGACTGGAACAACTTCAATTCAACCTATTGCCGGCAATGATGAACCGGCTACACAAAAGAATGATCAAGTTGGTGTGAAAGAAAGTGCGGAGAATGAATATGTTGCAGAATTGAAGGGAGAAAAACAGGCAATTCAGGGTGGTTCACTGGAGGACTTGAAAGAGAATAATGTTATTGCCTCAGTTAATGAAAATTACAATGACAGAGTTCATCTGGTTTCCCCGATTCAGGGCAAGGATGATGTTGTGGATGATGATTCCAGTAAGAATGTCCATAATTTGAGTATGCGTGCTGCAAATGCGATTCTAGATTCCACAACAGAGGATGCGGTTGATGACAGTAACAATGTCATAAATCAGGAGTCTTCCAAGATTAATGAGCAGAATCATTCAGTTGATTTTCCAGTCAATGATGTTTCAGGTACTTCTGGTTTGACCGCATCAGTTGGTCCGTTGGAGAAAAATGAACAAACTCTCCATTCATTACTGATCTCCGCAAATCCTGATCAAGACAAAGTCGTGATTCCAGATTCTTTGGAATCTCCACAGGTTCTGTTACATCGAGCTTCTATACAACTATTGATTTGTGTTGTGTTTTACATAAAGCTCATATTTTGTATGTCTTCATTTGTGTTTTTGTAGGCGGATTTGGTGACTGTTACAGAAGATATCATTGAGGATAAGTTTGCTGTTGAAACGAAGGAGATTCGGAAATCGGTCGCAGAGGTGATATTAAAACAGAGGAAGATTATCGAAGAACAGTTAAACGTAATAACTGAATTAGAAGTGGTTTTGAAGTCACTTCATGACCTTGTTGCTCTTCAGCTCCCTGAAACTAAATGATGGAGCAATTTCAGTTGGTTGTTGATTTCGGGTTGTCTTTAGTTTTTTCCGCTTTCTATTGATCAAGTGTTGAGATGAATTTGTAGTCTGATTGGATTTTAAGATGGGTTGGAACTTGAAGATTAATTAGCAATTACTGTCAAATAATATTATATCCTTTGCATTGCCCCTTTAAGAAACAGTGAAATTCCAAATTTTTATGATTATATGTTACTCATAAGCGGGATTGATCGATTCCCACAGCAGATGATGAAAAATGGTGCTTTCTGACAAACATTAATAAGATCAATCCCAATCAGGAAGTACACTTTCCAAATTCACACTGAGAATCGTTCTGAAGAATCCTGTCTGCGTCATTTTCTGATCTGACTGCATCAATTGTTCAAATGGAGAGAATGTGGAAAATCTACCTCTTGAGTAAATTCATTCCTACAAAAAACCTGATCATGAGAATGAAATGGTTCCAGAACATTTGGAATCTTCCACTGGTCTGGTACACTGTACATGACTAGTACTCTGTTGGTCGTTGTACCAAAGACTTAAAGCCTTTTTTTTTTGTGAATCATTGAAGCGAATTGATATGTATTGAACATGTTGGTCGTTGGCTTCGAGGGTTTGTGATGAACATTGGTTAGGATACAATTACGGTAGCTGAATTACGTGATTTGTTCTAGGGGTTGCAGCTTGTCTGGGACCTAGGGTATAAACAAATTATTACGGAGGTTGATAATTTGAGTAAAATTCTAAATGGTAGAGAAGAAAGTTTGTTGAACGACATAAAAGCTTCATTTGTGATATAGGTGAGTTTTTGTATTGTGATTGGCCAGTGAAAATAAGACATGTCTTTTGAGAGTCAAATTTTGCTACAGAGTACTTAGCATCTGTAGCGGTTCAGTATTCAATGGAATTGCATTATCTAGAAATTCTACCTAGTGGAGTGAAAGCATGGTTAGAGCACGATACTATCGATATCTCTTGCCATTGAAGTATTTTAATTTAATTGTTTAAGCTTCTTGCTTCTTTCTTTGTACAAATAAAAAAAAATATAAATAAAAATAATAAAGGTTAAAATGGTGCTAGGTTAAAATGGTGATGAGCAATATATTTATATTTTACCTAAAAACAGAAAAAAAAAAAAAAAAGATTTAATCGTTGTTTCAGCCCTGAAAGAATCTCTTAGACTCAATCGCACTAGTGTGTTTTTTTATATTATCTTATTTATTTATTTTATTACAGTTGTTACCTATGAAATCAAGTTTTTGACAAAGTTCAAATGCTCCTCCATTGGGTGTCATGGCTTAAAGCATGATATTATTGGTGTATTTGTAACAAAAAAAAAAGAAAGAAGAAAAGGTTTAAATGGTCCAACAAAATTTAATGAAAATGTTGGGTCCAAGTATAATATTGTTAGAGTATGTTGCAATTTAAAGAAAACTTTAAAAAATGATTAAAGCCCAAATCCAATCACCAAATTTCCACGACAACAAAGAAAGAGACTGCACTTTTCCGCTTGTTATTATTATTAGGGTGCTTTGGATAAAAAAATTGTCTAGAAAGAAGAATAGAGAAATTTATTGGTCTCTTTTTTTGTAAAAAAAAATTACGGAGATCGGATTTACAAAATCCGAACTACTAATTTAATTAGAAGTTCGGATTTTGTAAATCTAACCTAATAAAATTTTTTTTTTCTGGAATATACATGTGAAAATAATTTGAAATAATGATCAAATAATGAACAGAAAATCCGACCTTAAGTTTTTTAATGAAAGATAAAATATAGGCGGGAGATTTGAAAATTATGAATAGTACAGAGTCGGATTCCCGAAACCCGACCTTATTTAACCATATCAACCGTTAGATATTTGCATTCAATAGAGGGAATTGGTGGGCAAAAGGTCGGAGTTAATAAATCCGAGTTTAGTTCCGACCTTACTTATAAACTCGGATTTCACAAATCCGACCTTTAAGTGATATAATGGGGAAACGAAAAATACTATTCACAGATCGGGATTCTTCATTTCTCTTGAGGGAGGAGGCGATTTTGGTGGCGATTTGAAGATTTTGTTCACGATTCTTCGCAATGGATCTCTTAAATCCATTTCACAAGAAGGTTAGTTATTGTTTTGTTGTTTTTAGATTATTGTTGTTTTTTTTTTTTTTTGGTAGAAGTGTAGAACTAGGAATGTTTATAAGATTTTAGGGTTGATGTTGGGTTTAGTTGGTGATTATTGTCGTTGTATATATGGTGTTGAACGTTCCATTTAGTAAAATGTTTGAATTTGTCCTCAACTTTTGAATTTGTAGGGGGTTTAGTAAATTTAGGTGTTGATTATGCCTTGTTTGTGGTATTTGTTATAATAATTTGTTTGATTATGCCTTGTTTGGGTATTTTTGGTAATAATTTGTTCACAAATGTGCTTTAATTCATGTAATAAACAGATATAAATGGCGGTCCATATTTCATTAATTTCTATTGGTCGAGCAAATTTGTTGTGACGAATGAGATTGTGAATACTTTTAACAACTTGCAGGACAATTCCATTGTGATTGATCATAAGGTATCATTCTATGATTTGATTGGATTGATTTGTGAAAGAGTTGGATGGAATAGAGGGAATGTGAATTCAAGTCTCTCAATTTTGTATGATACGATGGACAATGGTTTTAGGCGTATCGCCAAAATCAAGGACGACGCATCGTTGCAAGTCTTGTATTTCCTTCCAAATTCAACATATATTGATTTGTATGTGAATTTGGAGATGGCGGGTACTTCTAAGTCTCATTTGGAAGCAGAGACAAATAGTAGTAGGCCGAATATGAAGAATGTCGATTATATGGAAGATGATGATATCGGTGGACCGAATATGGAGGATGGCGACCACATGGAAGATGATCACGTGGAAGATGATGAATTCGATGATGAGGACTAGACATAGATAAGTGAACAAAGCAATGAAGACCAATCAATATCCGAAGGGAGTCGGGAGAGTGATAAGAGGTTGAAGACAAATTCTGCACAAATGACAGGCACATATATCATTCAAAGGGTAAATGGGGATCATACAAAAGTGGACAAGGATGAATTTCAGCTTATTATGTGGGATGAGACAACTGCAACAATCGGGAAAGGGACGTGTTTTAAGAACAAGATCGATGCAAAAAATGGTATAGGAGCGTGGAACATAGAGCAAAAAAGGGAGTATTATGTGAAGGAAAGTGACGGCAATACATGGTATATTTGGTGCAAATTCCTAAAAGATTCAACCCTTAAGGGTTATGTTCCTTGTCGTTGGAAGGTACGTGCCTCCTTGAAAGACCACGGTTTGTGGGAGATTGTCAATGGGTGTCCGAACACAATTGTAGCGGAAAACAATAATCGAAATGTGAGCACAACACTTATTGCTCATCTCATAAGGAATAAGGTTGAGTTGGACTCGGATTATGAAGTGAAGCTCGTTCAGGAAGAAGTGAAAAAGAACGTATACATGTCGATGTTCCTTACCACAGGGCATGAGAGGGAAGGAGAAAAGCTATCAATCTTGTTTACGGCGATTGGATTTTCAATTTTGACATATTTCCAAGGTATTTACTTAAGTCCTATATAATTTATTTAATTTGTTTGTAATTTTCTTTTAAAATAAGCATTAATTTTTTTAAAAAAAATTTAGGTTTTTCGCCGCCCTTGTGAAGAGCAACTCCGGCACAGTTGTAGAGTGGGAATGGCAACCGGGTTGGACCAATACAGAAAGGATGTTCAAATAAGTTTTTTGGGCATTCAAGCCTGCAATTGGTTGTTTTCTAAATGTCCTCCAGTGATTAGTATCGACGGGACGCACTTGCGTGGCGGATACAAAAGGAAGTTACTCACTACGATGGTTAAAACTGCGAATAAACGTACCCGACTAATTGCATATGTGATCGTGGATGAAGAGAGTGAGGGAAGTTGGACATTCTTCTTGAAGCATTTGAGGAATCATGTTATAAACAATCGTCTTGTGTGTGTTCTATCCGACTGACACAAGGGTATCATCAGTGCAATAAGTCTTATGCACGAATGGAATGCACATCACCGGTTTTGCCTTCGTCACGTCGGGAGTAACTTGGTGGCTCGGTTTCGAAGTAGAAAGATCAAGAGGTTGTGTTGGGACATGGGCTCAAAATTTTCAAAGACTAAATTCAAAGAACTAAGGCAAGAGCTACGTGACTTTGATAATGAAACATATTTGTATCTCTAGGAGATTGATGCTTGCAAAAGACAAACACTATCGTTGGGGTAACCAGAAAACTAACATTTCAAAGAGTTACAACAACGTCCTCAAGGGCATTCATTTCTTGCCAATCCGAGATTTGGTGGAAGCCACGTTTTTTAAGACTGTGGATTTGTTCCAGGAAGAATACGTAGCATCGAGGAAATGCATTACACCCCTCCCAACCGACTTGTGGGAAGACTTCTTGAAAAAAAAGAACAAAGCCGTGCAACACAAAGTCAAGGGTTACGCTGTGGTTAATGGGAAGTTCAAGGTGAAAAGTAAAAGCCGACTTAGTAATAAAGGTGGCAATGAGTACACTGTGAAATATGAAGAGAAGAAGTGTTCGTGCAAGAAGTGGCAGGAGTATAGGATGTCTTGTTCACTTGCACTAGCCGCGTGTCGGAAGATAAAAGATCAACCAATCAATACGGTGGATCCACATTTCAGGGTTTTTGCTTGGCAAGACCAATTCAGTGGGCACGATGACTTTAGTCCGGTCCCTGATAAGAGAAAATGGCCTAAGGTTGGATGGAGACTTGTTCCTAACTACGAGCGAGTTATTATGCATGCTGGGCCCGGTCGTTGGCAAAAAAAGAGATTTAAAATACAAATGGGTTATAGGAGAGGCAAATCAAGGGGTGAATGTTTGAGAAGTGGCTCAAGGAATCATTTCACATCTGCGTGTCCCAAATCACACAAAAAATCCGATAGGACAAGGCTCACGATCAATCGGGACGCCGATGGTATTCACAACGACTAGGAATTGTTTGTTTCAATTGTTGTTTATGTCTCAAAACAATGTTTAATGTTTCAAATGTAATTTATGCTTTAGTTCGTTTGAAATGTAGTTTATGCTTAATGTAATAGTTTGTTGAATGAACAAGTTATTGTTGTTGTGGAATGAACCAACAGAGAGGTCAAATGTTGTGATTGATGTTAGTACTAGTTGAAAAAGGGTAGGGGAAACAATTATTCAAGTGTGTCTTAGGTTTTATGGTATAAGTCGGACTCAGAAAATCTGATTTACGAAGAAAATTGAATTTTAAATATCCGAAAAAAAGGAAAAATCGGATTTTGTAAATTCAATGTAGTGAAAAAAATCAGATTTTGGAAACCCGATTTATGGTGAAATTCGGATTCCGAATGAAAGTCAGATTTTGGTGAAACTTTGGAGCCAATTCGCCAAGCTCTCTGTCCAAGGTTGGATTTTTTAAATCTGACCTTGTCCTTTTAAGAAGGAGGTCGGATTTTAGAATGCCGACCTTCGGGAAATATATAATGTCTGACCAAATATTGGGGGAGTCAAAATCGACTCCCCCTTCTTCTCCATCCCTAATCCAACGACCCACCACTGCCACCCCTCAAATCCGGCGACTTTCACCCCCTCCGCCGAGTCACCTACACTCCCCCTTCCCTGGCGAGTCTCCCCTGCACTCCCACTTCCCGGCAAGTCCCCAGCAATTCCCCCTCCCGGTCCCCGGCGAGTCATCTGCAACTCCCTGCACTCCCCCGTCTCCGACGAGTCTCCCTGGCACTCCACCCGTCTCCGACGAGTCACCTACACCTCCTCACACTCCCCCCGTCTCCGACGAGTCTCCCGGCACTCTATTGAGTTTGTACATTTGGAATGCTAAATTTGCTAAATTCAGTTTGTCAGTCAGTCTTTATGATGGAAGTGATATTTTACAATGATTTGTTACTTGTATTGAAGTTGTTGGGTTGTTTAATTAATTTCTGCCTTATAATCTTTTCTGCTTTGGCAATTTGATTTCTCGCATAGCTTAATCCCGCAAGTTGTTATTTGTATGAGTGTTAGGGTTTGGGCGAATGCTGAATTGATGGTTTCTCAATTTATGTTTATGAATGCTTAGTTAATTATGAATGTGAATTATTGTAGGATTAAAAAATGGAGAGTTCGAGCTCCTCGCAACCTAGAATGCAATATTTTAATCCGGTTCCAATAGTTGATGATTTGTTATACCTTTATAACGATCATAGGGCGAAAGCCGTATTCGAGGACCATGAGGGATTCGATGAAGCCCTTAAAGGTACAAGATTTGATGACAAATTTTGGCCGCTTTTAAAGAATGAAAACAATAATTGCCCTCAACAAGTTATAGCGGAGATAGACCAGGCAGGTTTTGGGGGAGAATGATTCGAATAGGTAATATTCAAGCCGACAATTTTTTGATCACCGCATTGGTTGAGAGGTGGCGGCCTGAAACCCATACCTCTCATTTTCATTTTGGCGAGACCACTATCACTCTAGAAGACGTTGATGTGTTATTTGGTTTGAGAGTGGATGGTATGCCTGTGGAGGGGATGACACCTGAGAAGACTAGGGCACAATGGATGGCGATGTGCTTTAGATTGTTGGGATTTACACCCGCTCATGACATGTTTGATGGGAATAAGATTTATGTGGAGTGTTTAATTGCCGAGTGTGATCTTTCGATCCCAGACGATGCTCCGGTAGAGGCCTATACAAAGAGGGCTCGTGCCTTAATGTTACTACTACTTGGCTCTTTCTTGATTCCTAACAATACTGGAAACAGAATATCGCTATGGATCTTGTGTCTTCTAGAGGATTTGGATGTCTGTGCTACCTATAGTTGGAGGCCAGCAGTGTTGGCGAGATTGTACTTTGGTTTGTGTCAGGCTTCCGTGTCCGAGAAGAATGACATTACCGGATGCTATATAATGATGCAAGTACGTTTTTTTTGTTTTTTGTTTATTTATATTTTTTATTATATTTTTATTTTTTATTCTAATTTATGCTTTTTCTTTTGATTTATAATTTCAGATATGGGCTTGGGAGCATATCCCAAGAATTCAACCGAAAAGGAAAGTTAAAGACAAGAGTTACTTGACGCCGGACGCTCCACTGGCCAATAGGTAACTATATATTTATTTTATTATTATTTCTTATTTATTATTTTTCTCTTATGTGTACTTTGATTTTTTTAGATTTAAATTTAATTAATCTAACTAGAATTCCGTTCCTTCATAGGTGGAAATGCCTAAAATCCAAATTGAAGGTCGTCGCTCATTGTGCTGCTAGCTTCAGGGATCAGTTATCTAGACTAAGGGATGGTGATGTAAGTATTGATTTTTATTACTCGATAAAAATTTCTTCTTATTTTTTTCCTATATTTTTTACCATTTTTTTCTTCACATCTATATATTTTTAATAATTATTTCAATTTTGGACAGTTTCTGTGGACTCCATATACTCCCTTCATCGATGCTCTCCCTAATTTCTGTAAAGCGGGACTCATATCTACCTCTGCAAGACGTAGATCTTTTGTTGGGCCGTCGGAGAACCATACGAGCTCAATCGGGTCCTTCGTCAGTTTCGGTGTAAGCAAGTTAGGCCAGAGGCACCGTTAATCTGTGACAGTGATCGCTGGAAAGCAATACACCACGAGGGCCTAGCGACTGGAAAGGCATATGATGATTGGGTGCTAAAGCATAGCGAGGTACAACCTCATTGGAATTTGAGAAAAAAGAACATGGTCCCTCATGGGTTGGTTGATTCGGCTCTTGGTCCTCAGTGTACAGCAGACTACATACCGTAGTTTCAAAGGAGGATTGTCAGATTCATCACTGATCCCATCCAATACGACACTTTGGCACAGGGTTATCACTCATCTTCATCCCGAGAGAGATTTTATGTAAGATTTATGTCGTTATTTTAATTTAAAAATTTCTTTTACTTTTTTTCCTTGCTATATTTTATACTTTATTAACATGGTTCAAATTTTGTAGGCTGAAAATCTTAGCGATGTATATCATCTCGCTGAATCCACTTTACGGGCAATCTTGGCCTTGGTGGTAGTCTTGAAGAAAAACTCTTGGAAATTGTCGATAAGAGTTTCAGTGCCCTGACTTTGGCCCCAAATGATATGAGCTCTCAGAGAGATAGGGAGGTTCTTATGAAAAGACCACCGGAGTCAAGTGAACATATTGTGCTCACGCAAAAAACAATATCTTAGCCAGCTGGAGGTGGAAGGAGGAGGCGACAACCGGGAATTCGAGATCGAAGATTGATAGTTCATCTCAATCCGTCTCCGATGCAAGAAGATGATGGAGGCCATCAAAGCGATGAAGATTATTACATTGGGGGTGAGGAAGAAGAAGGAAAAGAAGAAGAAGAGTCCCCTCTACCTCGAGTTTCTTTCCAAAAGAAACAGAAAACGACCGAAGTTCGTAAGAGTGATAGGGTGAGTAAACTAGCCAACAAGTTTATTCCCGGTTCCATTAGGGATAGAGGAAAGAAAAGACCGTCCAAGTAGTTTCATTGTAGGACTTTTTGATGTGTATTAGGAGTAATTTGGATGTTTTTATGATTTTGAAGTCGTTAATGTTTATTAGTTGTAATTTGGATGATTTGGGAATTTGAATGCTTTTGAACTAGTTAATGTTTGTTACGATATGTTTCGAATGTGTTTTTAGACAATTTCCTGTGTGAAATTTGGTTTGGTGCTGTTGTGATAGGTTGGGATAGGTTTAGACACCAATCCTTTCTTTTTTTCTAAGTTACTGTCCAATATCGGATTTCTAAAATCCGACCTTAGCACTGTTAAACTGTCTCAGATTTTCAAAATCTGATTTTATTTTACCCCGATTCAGGAATCCAACCTTTTTACCGTTCAACAGTAAATCGAATTTCTGAAATCCGGTCTTAGTCAAAATTTCGATTTTGTAAAAAATCTAAGTATTTTTCTTTAAAATATTATTTTTTTTTAATATGTCAATGTCGAATTTCTAAAATTCGATATTCTGTTAATCTTGATTAATGTAATTAATTTTTCGTATTAAAGGAAATTCGGATTTTATAAATCCTACTTAAGGGTAAAATCGGATTTTCAGGAATTCGATCCCGGTATTTTTCTCTCCTCCAAAATTCCACCTATTTTTTTCTCTACTTCCATTTCTGAATCATATTTTACCTCAAAAACTCTTATTATCACAGAAAGAGCCGCTGCTTCTACGGATAAAAATCTGGGGAAACTTCGCCCGTCGGAATTCTAAAACGACCGCAGCAGCGGAGGCTCTCCGGAAACGTTAATCAGCTTCTATTGGGGTAAATCGTTAGTTTCTGTCTAGTCGCCTTTTTAGCTGGGTGTAATGCAGGTTTTAAATTGTATATTTCCTGCATTTTTCCTTTTTGTTTTCCTAGGCTATTTGAAAGTCTACTTTTTGTGTGTATGTGTGTTTCTTTTAATGCCAGGCTTTAAGATTGAGTTGTATAGTTCTGAATTGGTGCTAATTTTCGATTAAAGATTTGGAGTCAATGGATTTAGGATGAAAATTTTGCTTCGTTTTTGAATGTTTTGACTTAGATCATTATCTCTCTGACTAACAATATCAGTATGAATTCCCTCAAAAGCGAAGTGGCGTTAGATATACTGCCACACAATTTTCAAAGTATAAGATTCTATCAATCATTTTTGTAAGATGAAAACTTGTTATGGGCATTTCCTGCAATTTGTGTTTTGAATCGACTAATATTGGAGGTTAAACTGCTTGCACTTAAATAGCTAAATGCCACTAAGTAGTGTCGCGTACACAATTTCTTTTTTTAAGTCAGAGCTGAATGCTTTAAAGTAGTGCCTTACCTATACTATGCTGTGACATCACTGGTTGCGGCTTATTTGAGTTGCAGATTATGTTGGGTTCGTCTCACAATGAATGGTGTAGCTCATGAATTTTCACAACAATTCTTTAAGGTTTATGGACCTTGATTCCAGATTTTATTTATTGGTCAGCTTTGATTGAGAATGAAAGCTTTCCCTTCAAAAAAATAACACTTATAAGATGTCAGGATGATCAATGGTTAATGATTAGTTATGAAGAGCAACCATTGTTAAATCCTGGTCTTCCTTCTTCTGTTTGGCACAAGTGGTCATTTTGCTGTGCTCCCAAAGTTGTGGTGATTTCTTGATGATTCAGAAATGGCTCTCTTTCCTTTTCTTTTAGTTTTTGATGCTGCTTGACTTGCGTTTCTTTTTTCGTTAGGACCTTTTTCTGTTTGCCTTTGTTCTATACTTGTATTTCTTATCTGCGTGTTACTGTTTTGCTCTATTCTCGTGTTTCTTGTCCGCATGTTACTGTTTTCCTGACTAAATATTGTGTGTGAGATGGAGTGCTTTAAGGTCCTATTCAATATTCATTATATCTATGTGGTTGGGTGAAATTCCGCGCAGTTATAGTATTTGTCATTTATGTTGAACAGGAGGTTTGCAAGCAGATTCACGTAACGCAATCATCAGGTTTCCCTATGGCTATTCCCACCTCGTGCTCATCAATTTCTAAGCTCCTAGGCCACAGTACATCCCCCAGAACACCGAAACTTCTAAATCTCCTCCATACCCCATTGCCTCCTCAACCGTCGCAGTTGAAAATTAACAATTTTACCCTCAAACCACCCTCGCTTTCACATCTATTTTCCATCAAACCATCAAAACTCTTTAAAACCCCATCCAATTTAAAGCCAACCAGATCACTTTTCACTGGTATTGTTGAAGAAATGGGTGAAATCAAACACTTGGGCTATGAAAAAGATGATAGCTTTACCATGAAAATACATGCGAAAACAGTTCTTGAAGATGTTCACTTAGGTGACAGCATTTCCGTTAATGGTACTTGTTTAACAGTGACAGATTTTGATGTCCAATTGTCTGAGTTCACCATCGGACTAGCCCCTGAAACTTTGAGAAAGACCTCTCTGGGAGAATTGGAAAAGGGGTCTTTGGTGAATTTGGAAAGGGCTTTAAGTCCCAGCACTAGGATGGGAGGTCACTTTGTGCAAGGCCATGTCGATGGGACGGGGACAATTGTTAGCCTTGAACCAGAGGGGGACTCATTGTGGGTGAAGGTAAAGACTGGAAAGGAGTTGTTAAAGTACATTGTACCTAAAGGGTTCATAGCTGTTGATGGGACTAGCTTGACTGTGGTTGATGTTTTTGATGATGAGGAGTGCTTTAACTTTATGTTGGTGGATTATACCCAGCAAAAAGTGGTGATTCCTCGGAAGAAAATTGGGCAGAAAGTGAATTTGGAGGTGGATATACTGGGGAAGTATGTGGAAAGGCTACTCAGCAGCGGCTTTCTTGATTCTCTTAAACCATCTTGACCTAATATGGTACACTTTGATAGGTTGCTTCTTTGGTAGAATACCTTACATTTCATTTTGTTGAATTTTATGTGATAGCTTAGTTGTTTTTACATATACTCTTTGATAGTGACGGAAGAAGTTTTATTTGCACAACGTTGCTATGATGTATCTTGAAAAGGTAGCGAGAGTTATGACTGATACCTATATACCATGATAAGCTAGAAGATGGGATTGTGTGTTGATTTTGATTCCATCTGAAGTATCTGTTGATATCATTCTTCTTATGATACAAGAAACACAGCAAAACTTTGAGAGCTAATGCAGTGAGTTGTTTTCTCAGAACTTGCATCAGGCATTCAAATCAGTAGATCATTTGTCCTCATTGAGGGCAAGCTTTTTCTGCCATTAGTAGCGCTTTGTTTGCTTGTAGGGTACCCTGTGCTAGTATGCTAGACAAGATTTTTGGTTTCCTGGATGGAAATTCTTTCATTTGATTAGAAGTTGTTTATCGTCTTGTCTTAAGCCCTTTTGGTTTACCTGAATTCTGGCTTTTAGCATGTATGTAATATGTTTTTTTTTTTCCCTCTAGTTTTGAAAAACCAATTGCTTGCATTTGGTTGTGTAGTTTGTGCATCCCTCATTATGTTCGAAACTAGTATCTGGGTAATTTATGGTGGCTTTATGAGCTTAAACTAAGTTTTTAATAGTTATCTGAGTATTGCTGTTAGTTTTTCTCGAGCCTCGGGGAACAGTTGAAATCATCAAGTCGTCTTTTAATCATTGCCTGTGGTTTCAACTTATATTCTAGTGGAAAATGTTGTGACCAAGGTATGTCATAAATGTGTGGAAGGAATCAAGTTGTAAGAATTGCTAAATGTATTCATAAATGTGTGGAAGGAATCAAGTTGTAAGAATTGCTGAATATATTCATACTTTGTAGTTTTCCATCAGGATGCTTGTGTAGTTCCAGCATCATGAATTTTCTTGCTTGGGAATCTTGTGGCAGATGATTTATTTATTTATTTTTGGGGGAGGGTGGGGGTACTTCAGCTTCTCCATGAATCTTTAAAATTATAATACATGAAAAGTAGGCCTGCTCTAATTCCTTGCTTTCCATCTCATTTCTCTTTCCGATCCAACTTTATCAAGCTGTCTTTTCTGTGCTCTTATTGGTTGGGGTTCGATATATGTCAAGTCCGTCGTTCATGAAATTCAGAAAGTCTATTCGGTGCTTATCTTATGGCGGTAGGCTGGAATATGTATCGTAGTTGTCTCTGAAAAGCCATTTATTTTCCGTACTGTGAAGGGAAAAAGAGTCTTTAATCATATTGGCATGATTGTCTGTTTTCTATTCAAATTTGATGGGTGAATGGTTTCCATATTATTTAAGATCTGCTAGCGTATGAGCTAATAATTTCTTCTTATATTGTGTTTCGCATATTATAGATCATGGCATCAGGTGGTCTAAGAGTTATGATCATGTTGAATCCGCATAAAAGAACATGAGGAAATTCCGCGTGTGGATTTGTTCTTACTGAAGCTGTATATTTCAAATCTGCTTGGAACTGTAAATGGCCAGTTTTGCTTTCAGTCTTTTGTCATGAAAATATAGCCTAAGGAGTTAAAGGGTGCTTGATGTGTTTTGCTGCATACCTTTTAGTCTTTTATGTTTTATGTCTTTGGTTATGCATTTCATTCCACATCATTCGTTTCTTTCATGTGTTCAGCCAGAACAATAATCCATATGGTGGAAAACATAGCATTTTTGAACTGACCCTTCAACTTTATGAAGGAATCGTCTTCCGGGTTTATAATCTAATGGAAGGTCTATTTTGTCAGGATCAGGATTCAGGACAAGTAATTTTGCAGTAGGCAATCAAGGTTTCATCCATATAGCATATTGTGTGTTCAAGAGGGAAAGTACATCAGTAGATGTTTTGTTGGTGCAATTTTGTTTCAAGGCTGTAGTCTATTCCGTAAAACGTACCGTGTAATATCTTTCATCCCGAGACCATTTCTCTCTGTGTAATAAAACTCGAAGTTAAACATATTTGATTTAGTAATAGAACAAGATGGTTAATAAAAAGGCGCTAATCTGGCCAACTTGCATGCTTATGCCTTAATGCCTTGACAGAGAGTTGTTTGCTGGAAATGGTTGGGACTCGGGAGGAGGCTGGTTATTTTCGTGAGCGTGACTTGACATTTCTTTTGCGCAACTGAATTTATTTAAGCTGACCGTAATCGGCACGGTGGGGTCTGTTGAAGCAAATGGTGTTGTGGACATAATTTGTAGATTGATATTCAGAAGTTATTCCTCAACCGTATATTTCATTATAAATAAATGCTAGTATTCTTCCGTCCCCCACGACAATTAGTATAACAAATTGAATAATTATTTTAGAACGAAAGAAACTGTTATTTTGTGTCTCTTTTGCTTTTGGTTTTGCAAGAGTTTTTTTTTTTTTTTTGAAAGATGCTTTGCGTTAGACTGGAAAAAGGGGGAAGAAAGAATTTCAAAGGGTACCGACTATAAAAAGTATGGCCTTACTAGCGCAATTTTATCATCAGCCATGAGTGTTGCCCAAGAACGTGGTAAGTAAGTCAGCATTATGCTATGTTACATTGCTTCACTGACTTATATAGAATGGGGATATTCGGACAATCCATCTGCAATCATTCTCTTTATATATTTAGTACGTAAGACCCAAAGATTGAATCAGTTGTGCTAAGTGAATAATCGACTTTTGCTTTCTAATTCATACATCACACTACTTTTCCAAAAATACCGATAATGATTTGTTTGTCTTTTGCATTTGGACATTCTGAAGAATGTGGAACTTTCAATTCAGCAATAATTTAGAGTTTAAATGGAGTTGATATGATGTACTCCCTTTTCCCAAAATAATCCACCAAATTAGATCTTTATTTTTAGAACAACTTGTTTTAACAGTAAAAATTAAGACCGCACGATCGATCAATATTTTAGGACGGCGGGAGTAGATAGGCCAATGGAATGCATACTAAGAAGGCTAACCATGAGATGAGATGGCGCCTGATCCTTCTTTACATTTTTTCCCTTCTTCTTTTTGATCTCCCTCAGAGAAAGGGTGAGTAAATAAATATACAAACAGCGGATGAAATTTGGAAAAAGAAAATTAGAGAAGAGAAATCAAATCAGCACCGAAAGAGAGAGCTGTGATCAAGTTTGCCACCAAAAGTGCTGAGGCTGTGCACCAATCAATTCTGATTTCTTGTCAATAAAATGGCTCAAGTGACTGGCAAAGAAAACACACACAAAAGAACAGGAGAAAGAGCTTATCTTATTCTTCTTATCATGCTTTCTGGTGGGTCAAAAATCAAAATAAGATGTTCTATCTGATTCTTTTCATCCCAAAATGCTTTTAAAGTTTAAACATTGATGTTTGATTGCTTTCCCTGGTAGCAATCTTTCCCTAGGCATAGCTTTTTCAAGTTTTGACTTTTGACCCATAAAGTGCCCTTTTTTTTTTTTTTTAATTATGTAGATTGAATTGAAGAAAGAAATCAACAGAACCATCAAACTTTTTTGCTACTGGAAACTCAAGAGAGATCATTACCTTTTTCTTTTCTTAATCATAGCCATTAGATTCTAAGAGGCTACCGTGTTTGTGATGGAAATATCAGGCGAGGTCTCATTTTAAAATTAAAAAGTTTGGTGTTTGTGACAAAATATCTTAAACAATACTTTAGCCATGAAAAGCTTAAAAAATACTAAGTACTTCCTTTATTAATCATAGCCAGAAATTTTTTTTTTTTTTAGATCGGAAGATAAAAAAAATACTTCTTCCGTCATATAATTATTGTCCAGTTTGAGTTTTACAATATCATATTCTGATTTGCAACCGCATGTGGTAAAAAGATGCATGATGGAATCATTTGAAGTCAACCTTGTTGTTATGTTACTTGTTAAAAGGCATCATTAGAAGACAATCTGGTCATTATAGTGATCCTTATGTGTAAAGTAGTCATTAGCTGTATGCTTATGTAAGTTTTCCAAAAGTGCTAATAAAGAAAAACCTTTTTTTTTTTACCAATGAGTGATCTGATTTTTGTCTTTTGTTTTTTAATAATAATATAAGAACATTAACCATTCTTACAAGTAAATACTACGGCAACATCAATATCAGTGCTAACAAGATATTAGACGTTTAACTAAAGATACACGATATACGTATTGTCCTCCTCAATTCACCTTAGATAGCTTGTACTAACATACAAATGTTTAACACGTGTTAAAAGATCTTCATGAAGAGTTCCCGGACTACATAGGGACTCAATTTTTAAAAAATACTAAATAGGTCGTTTCAAGTTTGGAGAGATTTTTCAATGTATAGGTCATTTTACAAATTTTAGACAAATTAATAAATATTTTTTTCCAAATATATCATCAATAAATGATGCCAACCTATTTTCATTTAGTGTTGTTTATAATTCCAATATAATTAATGAGGGATAAAACAAATACTGTTTAACACATAAATTAATTATTTGATGATTGTCTCCTTAGTTGATGTTCAATTCTGATCGTCCACTAATACACGTGTTACATGAATACAGGTCCAATGTTTTGTTAGAGAAGGACTAGATATTTTTAAATTGCCATTTTAATTTACCCGCTTTAGACTTTTCAATGTTAACATATGGTTGATGATGTAGTTGGATATAAATAATCTTAAATAATAATAGGCTTGAGGTGATATGTCATTCACATTAATCACGATTAACCATCTCTACAAATTTTCCTTAGTAGAACCATTTATATCATTATATATTTTTTTGGGTACATTTATATATCTTTATTATCACTGAATTTCTTAATAGGAACAATAAAATGAAGAGCATTTTGACAACTGATCAAAAGGGGGGAACACACAGTGTGATATTTTCTTTGCATTTAACTCAAGTTTACATCACGATAAAAAAAAATCCAAACATATTAAAAACAGCCAGTCAATTTTTATCACAAATTTCCCATCACTAATTGTGGGGAGTGACGTGAAAGAAAGGAAAAATTCTCTCACAATACTAATCATAATTGTAGTATTAAATAAATACATATATCTTCCTCCAAACCTCTACTATCAATTACTACCCCAACTGCTACTACTATTTTTCCTCATTGGAAAGCAACCTGTCGAATCAAAACTAACAAGAAAGCCTTTTACTACATTTATGTACCATAAGTGTGGTGTGCGTCGCACTGTGTGACTGTGTGTTCCAAGAATGAATGAATCAAGGCCATAGGAATAAACGAGTGAAGCTGAAGGGAAGTAACGCTGTCGCATCTCCGCCCATACACGTTGCCTCATCTCATTGGGCATTCAACTTCAAAAAGATCTGATGAAATGAAAGTGAAAAACAAATGAAATTTTTTCCCGCAAAATGTCATTTGCATCACAATCAGTTCCCGAGATGCCGCGGGAAACCATTCATTCAATCAATACTTTCTTCCTCCACTTTTACCATATTATCCCCCCTTCTTCATTTTCAAATGTATTACTAGTATCAACAACGTTGCCTTTTCTTTCTTATTACTCCCTCCATTCCAAAATATATGTCGCTGAACGAGTTTCATAAAGTTTACGGAGACAATAAACATTTAGTTAAAATACTATACTACCCTCATTTATTCTCAATACAATTCTATTCTCAATATTATTTAATTTTAATAAACTTCTATTTTAAATATAATTACAACTTCCAATGTAGGAACAATGTTGGAAGAAGATAACAAAATATGCCTACATATACAAAAACGAAATTTATTTTGAAAAAATTTGATTTTCCTCTAACAACATATATTTTATAATGGAGGGAGTAGTGTTTAACTGAGTCCATGACACAGAAATAAACGTCTAATTGCTTATACTCCTCAAGTAAACCATTCATGTACTAGTCATTGAGACATTCTATAAAAATGATACAATAAAACAGCGTAAAAAGAAAACCATAAACACATAATAATGGTCCCGATCATAAGACTATTTGTGCATGTTTTTTTATCTTTTTTTTTTTCTAAATACATATTCTTTTAGAGATAAAGATTTAACTCGGAGTGACTATATTCTTCTTTGAGTAATTATTCTTTAATTTCTTACTTTGCTTTTTTTATTGCTGCAATCTTACTTTCATAAATAAAAATCTAAAAATTACATTCATATATGCTAGTTGAATGTATCTTTTTTGTTACTTTTCTCGTACTGCTTTAACTGCCTATCTATATTGATAAAAATTCTACAATAAGTAAAATAATTAAATGGCCCAAACAATTATTATTTTATAAATGCATCATTTGTCTCTTACACTAAACATTGAGAGATTAGTCAGATCCGCCAATATATTTGGGATGTTAAGAATCTTAGTTATCGCCATCTTTCCTTTTCTCGGTTGAGCTAGATCTTTCCTTTTCTGCTTACTCAAACAAGATCTGAGAACTTAGAGAATTTTTCAGATAAACTACGAAAGCTAATTGAGAGAATATCTGTTTTTATTACTGTGGCGGCTGTATCTTTGGTCTCAATGTTTTTTTGGCACGTAACATAGAATTTGAACTATAGAAGAATATCTCAATCTTTATAAATATAATTTTTCTTTTTTTTTTTTTGAAAAAAAACAGACACATAAGATAAAAACAAGAATTTTGAAAATAGCAAGAGTTACAATTGTGGGGGTAGAAATGTAATATGGAGTAAGCAAGGGTGGGCTGGCAGGCGCATGCATAACAGTTGCGAATTACGGCGTCTAAATTCGAATACTGACCAAAAAAGTCCACGCTTTCCCAGTTGTTGTTCTTCCCCCACAATAAATGGCCCTTCCTGTCTCCAGTCTCCTCCCCATTTCCCCAACTTTCCAAATTCCTCATTCATTTAATTCATCCTCCTGAGAACTAAAAAAAAATCTCAAAGCAAACCTTTCTTTGGTTCCAAGATTAGCTGCACGCTTAATTCGCAAGATACCCCCATGAAGAAATCTGGATTCGTGGCAGCTTCCATGGCGGCTGTTTCCGCTACAGCTTATTCTGCTTCTTCCAAATCCAACACCCATCATGAGGTAAGCGTTAATTTCGTTGATTTGTTGTTTGTTTTGGTAATTGCTTCGTGGGTTTATTCTCTCAACTGCTATGGGCTAATGAACTTGGTGAAGTTTCGTGCTCTGTTTCGATTCCTTCCTGTGTTCTTTGGGTCTGTCCTTTCTTTTTATAAGTTGAATTTAAACTTTTCGTGGTTTTTGATTTGCTCAGGAAACGGCTGTTTCCATCAAGAAAAGAGAGAATTCTTCGTCTCAGCAATCGTCCTCTTCTTCTTCTTCTTCCTCTGATAAATTTGCTCCCAGGTTTGATGGGTTGAGGTTCATAGAGACTCTGGTCACGGCTCACAGATGATAGTATTCATTGAATCTTTTTCTTATTTCTTGGTTCTGACTTGTATTGATTCCTGAAAAACTTATTGGTATTAGTATTACGTTTTTCGGATGCAACTGATTTTAATTTTCTCCTGTGTGGACAACAGAGGAAAGAAACAGAGGGAGAGAAGTATGATTAAAGATTGTACCTTTGCTCTGTTTTTCATTTGCTTCTTCCTTTCTTCGTTGAATCTATCAATTGTATTGATCACATCAAACTATCAAAAGGGAAGGCAGGATTTGACTAGAATTGGTAATCGATGTCATTTGGCGGACATTTTCCTCATTTTTTTTTTAATGAACTTTTGTCTTCGAGCATCTTGCTTGGTTCAAAAATTGCTGCTTTACTTCAAAATTCTGCGCTTTATTTTAAGTTCAACTATTGCTGCTGCTTCAGCTGTGCTTTACACTTTTTCTGTCCTTTGTGTGTGTACTTGAAAACTAATGCTCATTTCCAACATACAGTATTTCATATATCGAGCAAAAAAGAAAAAAAAAGAAAACTAAAAAAACACCATTACATGGGTACTATACGTCACTGGCCATGGGGGAAAAAAGCAGAGATTTATTAATAATTCCGAAAGGCTAATCTAACTATGATTGTGCTGTTTATTAGTATACTCCTTTTTTTAAAAAAAAAAAAAAAAATTCGATTAAGAATATGATTGGCGTTCTGAGTCCTTCAACACATCACGAGATTCGTTCGTTGATTTAAGGAAGTGTACGATGATTACGACGACATAATTTCATAAGCTATGATCATTGGTTACCTCTCAATTTAGTATGTAACTCTCAAAAGAATCTTAAACGAATCAGTGTGTTAAAAAAAGAGACGCCAGTTCAGCGAAGAAGAAGCTTCTTCTAAGCTTCTCTGATTAGCGTCTTAAGTATGGGATCTGATTTGGTAATCCTCAGCCGAAACGACAAAAAATTTGCTTGGCTTAAAATAAAAGCCTCCTTTTACGAAATTGACCGCGGTTATTATTATACAAATTTATTTGCTTTCACAATTATGTGGCAGATTTCTTGGTCCCAATACTTCAAATCGGTTATGACTACTAAATCAGACGCCCAGATCTAAAATTTTGTTTGACACCATTACGTGCAAGATTTTAGTGGAAAACTTTCTAAATGGGCAACGTCGTTACCAAATCCGACGCAATGCCACACACAATCTTTGTACACAAGCCTAAAACAAGTTCATGTATAAATAAACAGCCAAACAAAGAAACACGTACAACCTTACCACAGCTAGGGAGTAATCTTTAATCTTTTGGGAGTAACTTTTCCCACCTATCGCGGTTCCTACTTGAGTGAGGGAGATTAGTCACTGTTGCCGACGGTGGACACCGTACAATATGAAGAAAAAAAATAAAACCAAAGAAACACATTTTTTTTTAATTTTTTTTTTGGCACAATTGACATAGACCAAATCATATGTATTGGAAATCAAGAATAAATCAGAAAATTCCGATGAAATCGTGTTCTAAGTTCTAAACCAGTGTATAACTCAATCTGTCGGAATCTTGTGTATTGATTAAAGTGCCTAGAAATGAAGTTTCGGAATTACATAACATAGCATATGCTAAGATGCGTTGTACTTCTTATTTTCAAAAAAAAAAACAAAAAAACAAAAACACTGTCGGAATCACAAAACGTTGAAAACCTCCCGACTCTTTGTTGCAAGGTCGGCTACATAACGTATTAACAACAAAACAAGAAATAACACAGAAATGTTGGGAGCTTTGAGTTGTTGAATCATGTAGTACAAAGGAAAGAACACATAAAAAAATCAAGATGAGGATTCAGAAAGACAAGGACTTTGATATTTATAAATATAAATGTCAATTTATCCACCTTTGGTATGAGGTCATGAGAGCCCAAAGGGAGTAGTATTTTCAGTGATAATGTTGTCCCCATGTATATAATACTTGCCAGTACTATTTTGGCAAAATTCTTTTTTAAGTGGGATAATAGTATAAGTCCTTTGGGCACAAATAATGTTATACTATATAGGGTTGTCCACATTATGTCTTCCTGTTTCCTCATTGGAAGGGACATAATAAACTGACCATTTCTGGTTGTTGTTTTGTGTTCAATGAAATGGATTCTAAGCAACTTTTTCTATACTACTTCACTGGTCAATGGAAACACTTGTAAAAGGCCACACAAAAAGCTATTGTCCTTCATGTGCTGTCACTACATTTTTGGTCCTTTTTCATTTGGAGGAATTTAGTTCAGTTTCCAACTCAAATTTCTAGCTTTGTTTAATCCAATATTCTTTTCTCTACAACTCTCTCTGTCCTCAAACGATTTGAAATGATTGTCTTAATAATCATTTTGAGATGAAAGAAATATATGTTTTTTCACTTCTCAAATACAATTAAGCCGAACAAAGAGTGGGACAATATCCCTCCACTAACACAAACAAGACCCTCTAAGCAGAAGCAGAATGACTGATGTTCAAAATAGTTTTTGTATTATTAGGTATGATGTAAGAAATCCAAGGCAAATAACTAAATTAGATATGAGAAACACATTGTTGAGTCCTTTTCAATGAGTTTTTAGAAGAGATTATACAGAAGCATCGAGAAACCAGCTGAGAGCACCAGAAGAGGAGCCGATTGCGAGGTTTTGAGCACTCCGCTTTTCTGGGATTTACTGACTTCTACGTCCGCACATTCAAGGCCATCAGCTCCATCTTTGCAGAGGTTGGAAAAAAGGCCAGGAGGATATCTTCCGTAAAGATTAATGTAACTGAACATTGTTGTTGCACAATCACTTTTCAAGTCGTTTATTTGATCAGCATAAGGGCAGGCAAATTGCTTAAAGCCATCACAACAGAGTTTTGGATTGTAATTTGGTCCCTTGCATTGGCTAGTTATGACTGTGTAGTTCTGATCCTGAAAGTTTATAGGACAGGCTGCAGAGTTTCACCAATATCTTTGTATTAGATTGAAGGGAAAAAAATTCAAAATTGCTTCACATTCTGCTAATGATTCTTGATAATGATGTGAAATGCTGATTCTGATACTGTGGTTTTAGTCCCTTTATGACAAATAACATCATGAAGATACCTAATAGATTGAGTTTTAGCCAACTTATTGTAATGAAACCAACCTGAATTGTCTGGATCACTTTGATGGTACATGAAAACATTGCACACAAAATTGTCATGTTTCTCACTTATACCGTGTTGGTTTTCTTACAACATGAACAACCATTTCAAACATGTATTTCACAATTCAAAAATCATTTCTCGAATATGGGAGAAGGGAGAACTGACTTGTTTTTGCCTGAAGAAGGTTGCGGCCGCCTATTGATCCGCTAGACTCGAATGCATTATCTGCATCACAAATGTAAGCAACATAGTCGGTTCTAATTGGAAACATTCCAAATTGAAAATAGCAGGATAACAGAATGATATAGAATCATGAGAATATTACTTGAAATGTAGGATGAGGAGGCCAATCCAATGAAAAGGGACAACATAAACAACATCAAAGATGATGGGTTTGGCTCCATCTTTTCTCCTATGTTAACAATTGATTATGATGAGGAGACCAACCCTATATTTTTTCTTTTCCTCCTAAGGGTTGGTTTATTGAAATGGAGAAAAAGAGACCAATTTCAGGGTTGCAGGAGATGCATATCAGTGCGTGTTTGTGTGTGAAAATGAATCGAACGCTGGACAATTACAGAGGGAGACGCGGAGAAAGGAATGATGGATGTATGAAAGGGAAGAACCTTATTGCCAGCAATGACAGTTTGTTAGTTACTATATTTAGTTTTACTGGCAATTTCCATTTGTGGAAACGAACCATAATACTTTGAGGAACACAATCACGAAAGATTACTGATTTTAATCCTACTAATTTACTCTGCCAAAATACTATTTAAGATATTATCTGAAAATTAGAACTTTATATGACACATGTAATACTTCCTTCGTCCCAAAATGATTGTTTTATTAGCCTATTGGTCAGAGATAAAATGGTTATTTGACAGGCTATAGTTGATTATTGTGCCATATCTTTTCTAGGACACTTAACTATACTACAATATCTGAAACAATTCCCAAAATGAGTCAGTAAGCCTCAAAATGCGACGTCTTGTGTGAATTGGTTATCCTCCTCAGCACAAACCCAGCTTGGTCATATCCTCCTTAGTACAAAGCTAGCTCGATAGCAATCACAAGAAATTGAAGATTAGACATTAATTCTCAGTCATCTAAGACTTATTTCTTCAAAAAATTTTGTTATGACTAATCTGGTCAGTGTATCATGTCAATCAAAACTTCTTTGTTGTTGTTGCTTCATTGGATTTCTCCAGCTTAAAATCAAAAATCAGCAAGCACCACCCCTATTTCAAAATGTAGGGCACCTCTTTAGCAGAAAGGAAAAGAATGCCCCCAAGAAATGTAGAGAACAAGCAGTGTTAGCAGAAACTGGCATTATGTCTTTCCTTCCTGCTGATGGACCTTCCCATACGAAGCCGCCGAGTCGTGAGTGCTTCTAACAGAACTTCTAAAGCATCTTTGATTGCTATAGCTTGATTACGCAATCCATGTGAGCTGAACTCGGGAATGAGCTCGAGCTCATCAAGGAGACGGACAGCTGCTGCTGCAGTGCAGGTACGATCCCATGAGGGTTGTGGTCTGCTATCAGAGAAGGCAACAAATATTCAACTTTCAATCGGTCGGTATGGTCGACAAAGCTGAATACATAAGCATATAGGTTCCCTAGGTTTTACAAAGAGATATAGAAGCTGAGTAGTGAGTAGGGCAGCTTGCCTAAGTTTATGCATTGAAGAGACCCCTGCATTGAGAGAGATGCAAGGAAGATCTTCTCCCCAAACTACTTCAGCTCTATCCTGCATATAAAGTCAAACCTTCAAATCCAGCACCAAAATGGTTCGCTCATGTAATCTTTCAGGTGGGAACTCAAATTAAACAAGGATGTATGCAAGTTCAAAACGATACTGTTTCTAACACACTAAAAAGCTCAAAGATGGAGATCAAATAGCCCTTAACAGGGTCAATAGATATACTTTGTCCACATTTCAGAAACACCTTGAACAACGATAAAAACATCAGTAGCAAGAAATTTGGCTATTTTTCAACATCAACATATTGTATGAAAGCAAGAAGCAAACTTGGGGAAGGTCAGGAGGGTTGAAAAGGAAAGAAGTACCCTCTAGGATATTTGAATAGGGTAGAAAAATTCAAAAAAGGTTTCCTACTTGCAGTGTCAGGTCCCGGCTGATTTCAAAGGTCACCTAATGAAGAAGTCCATTTATCAGCATCAAAAGAATAATGGTTCTACAATCGTAACTTCTCAGAATCAAAGGTTCAGGTTCAAGTTTCAACTACAGCTGCAAAATTAATAATATCCAAATGTGACTAATTGACTTCCAAGTAAAAACCTAGCATGCCTTCACTCTCATGATCAACAAAACAAAACATAAAATTGAAAGAACGGAAAAATTGTTTCCACGGTTCCCATTTAGAATCATAATTGCTCTTTCCCTCTCTTCCTGTGACAGGGAAATTCTTTTAACTCCAAGGTGATAACATACTTCAGGAAAATAATTGTAAACCAGACAAAGAAGCTATTATGAACCTGTAAACGATTGAACATTGCCTGGGAATTGCTCCATGTACCATCCAACAAAATAAAGTTCATCATGTCATCCCTTTTTACCTGTGTCATAACGCCCCATTGGTAAAGTGAGAAGAGATGAAGGTCGGCATATTAGCAGTGTTTCCATTATTTTGTCAAGGTGAAAGATTCAAATAAATACTAGTAGGCAGGTTATGACAATAGTTTGACCCAACCTACTATATCCAAAGCAGTGAGATACATACTTAACTGTAGTCTGCAGAATAACCAAAGTGCAAGTTATGCAGATATTTGTTAAGGAAAATTATAGATAAAGCTGAGGTGAGTTTCTGATGGTGCTCAATGCTACAAATTTTTGGAGTAAATTAACCACTTATCCTTGGCCACGGCTAGCTATGTGGGTTTCGTGTTTTCACTAGGTTTTTTCAGTTATTTTACAATTTTTATTATAAAATATATTTCCGATCCCAGTAGACCTTTCTAAATTTCCAATAAACCTTTTTACATCCCCAACACAAGAACCACACATTGGAAAAAACAATCCAAACTGCTCTAGCCAAAATTTGAGTTCTAAGTGGAAGTTATTGAATAACAAATTTTTCTTTTCCACTCAAGTACAGTACAATCTTGTCAGTTCTATCGATTTTCAGAAGAGTTACCAAGTTATTTTCAGATTCTGGACATCTGGAAGAATCTTGAACGAATGCATCCTGAACCGACATTGGCACAGCATTTTTATTAGGGTAGAGACACCAAACATTTCTTCTGCCTGAAAAAGACCTTAAATAACTTAAACACTAACAACATAAGCTAAATTTCTGGAATTAGCAAAAGATCATCAAGTTAAATGTGTCAATGTCATAATTATCAAATACGCTGGAGTTACACATCATAACTGGGGGTGGACAGCTTCGGCATTCTGTAATTAAATGTGTCTCATAGGGGTTTATCAATTTCATTTTGATTTTACTATAAGTTAAAGTATGAACTTCAACACCCAACCCTATCAACATCATCCATAGACCACAACAAACACACATCTGATAGACCTTAGGCAAATTGTGAATATGTTCTCGGGAAACAGTATGTATATGTTCATGTTTAGAACGTTAGGACTCGGTAAAGTTTGAGGACTGCCTTAATGCCCCAGCTTTTATGCTAAAAGCCACCTGAAACATCATTTTGGACCCAACTAAGATTCTTTTTTTTTGAACTTTCTAAGCTGTACATGTTTCTCTTAATTGCACGATGATAGCTCAAACTAAGATAGCATGTAATAAGAGGAAGATATGGAACTGCAACTTTGGTAGTTCATCAATTAAAATCAACACTAACCTGTTACCTTAAAAAAAAAATGAACTAACCTGCTAATTTGAAAGAGTCCCACATGATTTCTTCAAGTTCAGAAATACCATAAAGACACAATGTTGCTGCTTGGTTACCGAAAACTTGCCATAGCACCTTCCCTGTATTGTTCTGTCTAAGAAAATCCTGCAGAACAGATATGTGACAATCCTCATAACATGTACACAGAAGGTGGGAACATGGAAACAATAAAAGTAGAATAAGAACCTTTGGGTGCATATACAACCAGAAACGTATACGATGCCATAGAGAACAATGCTTGATTCTAGAGCACATACAATCTTCCATGGGAAGCCAGCACTACAAAATCAGAAAAGAAGCAAAACACCACAATTTCAGTTCACATAGAGCCAATTGCCATAGTCTCGTTGCACAAACTTCTTATTCCCCCAAGAAGGTTTCAATCAGTACAACATGACAGAGGAAAAACAACTTTAGACCATCATCAATACGAAACAAACAGTACATACCTTCTGACAAAGGTAACCTCTACTTCCAAGTAACCGACATGCTATCTGTCTGGCAGAAAAGAACTGGAGCTTCTTTTCCGAATCTCCTAAGGACTGAAACTTAGCCCTATGCTTTTTATCCTCTTGCACTTTGAAATTTCCCTGAAGATGAGAAAACAGAAAATGAAGTCTGCCATCATGAATTAGACATTATACAGAGTTATTGACCAAAAACCTATTTGCATTCAGAATCAAATGAAAACTTCCAGATTGGCTTCTTGTTTTATATTACCCAATTCAAGTTGCACAAAGTATTGTACAATAGTACTAAGTAACAGAAATAACGGAAACTCTTAGTATTTCTTTTGCTTATTATTCCATTCCATTTGTCTAAATTCTCTTAGTCCATTACTCTAGGAAACCACGCAGAGCCAAGGTAAATCCAACCATCTATTATGTGCAAACAAGACCGAGAACATAACAAGAGTTCAATATTGACGTGCTTCATCGCAAAATATTAACAGAATTCCTAGAGCTGAAAAGAACTAAAGCCAAGCATATGCATCACGACAGATGATGGATTCAATTCCAAACAAAAGTACCACATTATCCAATTGGATAGAAGTAAACATTCATCGAAACTTCATGCCAGGGAGACTGTAACTACGAAAAGAAGCAAAAGAAAGAAGTCTTTACTCGAAGAGAACCATGGTTGCCTCCAAAGTCCATCAGGGTATTCATATCTTTCTCCAGAAGATTCAAGTCTTCAATGACTTCGGTAACCATGGCCGGAACAGGTGAAATGGCGCCCCAATTCTGCCATTCTTGGAGGCTAACAGCGGCATCACCATTACAGCTGGAGCTCCGGGAATCCTGCACTGGAGAATCGGCAGCGGACCTTGATGCGGAAACGGGTCTGGAGTCCATGTTAATCTGGGTCAACAACTTCAATTGTTCAGTGTGAAGGGGACAAGCTTTGAAGCAGAGGGGTCTGGAGAGCATGGTTATGGAAGTTTAAGACTCGGCGACTTTATAATTTTGGGTGAAATTTCTTTGCCTTTTTTTTTGGCAGTACAAATAAATTCGTGCCTGTAGGAAGAAATGGAAATTTTATGGGCCTTCTTCGGGTTGGGTTTTCCAGTTATCACAGCTTAGATTGGGCTTTTAGAGTTGGAGTTTAGTACATTCCAAAGTGCAAACACAAACTTGAGACATCAACCATTCCCAACCCCCCACACCACCCCCAAAACAAAAAAAAAAAAGAAAAAAAAAGAAAGAAAAAAGAAAATTAAAAAAAAATCAATTTTATTGAACTAAAATAATTGTTTTCTACCTGTCTATTGAATAATATTACAATAAAGTGGACTAATTTTTTATTTTTTTTACATGAAAGTATCTATATTATATTTATTTGATATAGATTGAATGAACATGATGATCACTATTCCCAAAGAAATTCAAACTTAAGTATTCACTCCGTCATAAAATGACTATGTCCAGATTGAATTTTTATTCTTAGTATAAATTGTAGTAAAAGTAAAAAATTTAAATTAGACAATAATTTTAAGACATGGAGATTTTTATTTTTATTTTTTTTCAAAAAAATATTTACTCTATATAGATGTCTATTGATGTACATGTATGTAGCTTGTACTCAATAGCATACATGAATACAAGATACAAGTATTGTTTCTTTTCCCTCAATGGAGACGAGTAATATTTTTCTTCTTACCTAGAATGAGGTCATGAAGTATTTGTTCAGTGCAGTCAATCATAAATAATGTTATTTATTTAATCTCACTCTCCCAACTTTAAAATCAATACAAATCTCAAAACTCAATATGGACTATTTCTTAGGATAAATGTTATATATATTTCTCTAATTATTAAAAAAAAACTCAATGTGACATATTTTGACAGGAAATTGTAGTAGATTTTACTTTAACCGATCCCCTCGCAATTCAATTGCATTATTGTACATTATTACACCCAACTCTGAAAACTAAAATCTGGTCCAACCAAGTAATTAGTCGCATCAAATGGAGTAGCTTCAACGTATATAGAATATGGGGTTGCATTTGAAATGCTTTTCATACGTTCCAGTTGCTTTTGACTCGTGAATTTGGATGCAAACCCTGATTGGAAGCACCTTTTAATTGCAAGTAGGCAAGTATCTATTTGACTTTTTAAATAGTCCCATAATTAAAGACATTGGGTTGAACATGTTGCAATGAATTATGAAATTATACATGTTTTTTTTTTTTTGTGGGGAGAAAAAAAAAATAATGTCTACAATATTGACTTTGAGAGTGGTCATATTGTGTGCATGAATTTCTTTATAATCTCTTGTAGAAGAGTTTTGGTCAATTGCCCCTCTTGCTCATCCTTCTATACAGACCCTTGTTTATATATTCCATTTATTTATTTATATTATAAAAATACAAGTTGACCTTTTTACATTGGATCTACTTATTAGATTTACATTTCCATCAAAATTTAAAAGTTTTGTGAGCTTAACCGAACTAGACAAAAATATTATAAATTGCCGTGACAAATCCAATGTTCATATTTCCATTTGGTATTGACTGACTATTGAGAGCTAGTTTGAGTCTTTCAGACCCAACTGACAATCTCACATTCACATCGTTCGGGTTAATCAAACAAATAGATGGTATACGTGTGTGCTGACGAGGTAAGATGCATGTAGTATTCGCATAAAAATCAAAATTTACAAATAAAAAAAATGGCTTTGAATTATGAGTTTGATCAAGATACTTTCATTTTGGTCAAAGTACTTCATATTGATGATGATGATTAGCAGCATTAATTTAATATGAGTCAATGTGAATGGCAATGCCATTTAAATTTAATTAGGCTTTGCTGTCTCAATCATGATGATAAGAACAATGAAATCAATGAAAAGATTGATATGAAGAAAACCATAACTTTTCTAGATTCCTTTGATTTTTCAAGTGTTTGGTGACTGGTTAAATCTCCAACGATAAGAAAGCACTAAGAAAATCAAGATCTCTTACATCCCAAAATTTTCAACAGATTGAGAATAAATTAACTTTCAAGAGCTTGTTGAACAATAGAGGGCAATCTTGTGATGATTAGTTTGCTAATGGCAGAACTAGCTACGCAAGGCACTTCCCAATATATATATATTGCTAATGGCAGTCATTAAATTAAGCTTGCTAGTTAGTGAAACATATTTTCAATATTTGCACCGCATCAAAGTAAAAGTAATTCTTAACTACAGTAACATTTTATATTAACGAACACAACTCTTATTTTGAAATGGAATGCGTGGTTTCTTTTTAGTAACAACACATGAAGTCAACATCATAAACTGTTTTGATTCCTTACACAATATTGTAGTATTTGTGCTCCAAGGATTAAATAGATATTATATACAATTAATTCATGATTATTCAATTTCATAGTTTGTTTTTAATTAAATCAAAATACGTTTAACCGATTAAAGACAGCAACGTTTCGTTTCGTTCCATAACTTAAAAGACACGCGAAACAATTGAATGAAGAATCTTTGTTTTTCAGCCTTGGAGGCGTAATACACTATTTAAACGTACAAAACTAGGATTTATTTTTTTTTTTCCCATTTTACCCATTTCATGCAATTATGGAATAACTTTTACAAAATTACATTTACAAAAGCCGTTGAATAACTACTTCCTCCATCCCATAATTATTGTCCTGTTTGAGTTTTTGTTTTTAGTTTAAATTGTACTAAAAGTGAAAAGTTAAACTGGACAATAATTATGGGACGGAAGAAGTATTATGCTCCAAGTGCCATGATGTCGTTCCTGTTATCTGACGTGGTGCCATAAGTACTACAAGTGTGAAATGTGCATTGTATTCCAACCATAGCTATCGTAGTAGACCTAGGTCCTTACTAATTAATATACAAAAGATGCAATTTTTTTTTTCTTTTTTCTGATACTCCGTTCTATAATTATTGTCCAGTTTGAGTTTTTATTTTTAGTTTAATTTGTATTAAAAGTAAAATCTCAAACTGGACAATAATTTTGGGACAGAGGGAGTATATCATACTTTCCCATTCAGTTGAGTGATAGCTATCATTAGTGATGGAATCGTTAAAATCTCATGGTCACGAATTAATGTAGAAGATTGCAAGTTGGATTGCCCTAGTCAAAGCGTAGTATGCCGGATCTTCTCGCTAGTATATATATCTTTAAAAATTAGGGTAGAAGTTCATGAGTATAAAGTTGTCTCGCGACTAATTCTTTTACAATATATAATTTACAATATATATACATATGTATTGTAAAAGAATTAGTCGCGAGACAACTTCCAAATTAAGGCGTTGTTTTGAATCATACACATACACTACTTGAGGTTGAGGGCCATATTTTGACAAAATGTATGGTCACAACTTTCAGGATGACGGCCGGTTAGTATAGTCGTGACTAGCTGCGGGCTGGGAAAAGTAGAAACAAAGAAGAAAGAAGGTAAAGTTAGATTGTGTTATCTTATTAGGAATTCGTTAAATGATGTAACAACTAGAAAGGAATAAATGTGTCTTTTCACTATATATGTATAGTTTGCTACGTTTGTGTTTTTTTTTTTTTTTGGCTTATCACACAACATCAGGTGAAGACCATTAATATTCACGTCCAATTAATTCAACCCTGGAAACTAAACAAAGTGACTGAAAACAATATAATTACTTCCATCAATCGGTTTAGGACCCCCGAAAATAAGTTATCCTAGTAGCTGGCTAGTACTCCCTCCGTCCCATAATTATTGTCCAGTTTTACTAAAATGAAAGATTTTATTTTTGTTCAAACTTAACTATATTTTATCTTAAACAACCGGATATACCCCTAAATAAGTAATTGTTTAACCACTAAGATTTTATGGATAATATTTTTTACTAAGGACAAATGTGTAACTTGATCCATAAAAAGTCAAATTAGACAATAATTTTGGGACAAAATTTTTTGGGTAAAGTGGGCAATAATTATGGGACGGAGGGAGTATTTAATTTCTGTAGCAAATCTATTCATGATTTCTTTGGTACATTCTGCCGTTCAGTGTGTTACATCATAAATGTTAAAAAAATTAGGCAAGATATATTGTTTTTGCATTAAAAATTTAGGTATTTCTTATGGCACAAATATAGTTGTTTTCGGACTTAAATTTTAATAATCACAAAATAACAGAAACTTCAAAGTTGTTCCTTCATCACTTTCACATGATGTTTGGCTTTCAGCTTACACAATGATCTTCTCAGTTTACACTATAATCTTATATTATGGAGTTAATTCATTTTAAATTTAGACAAATAATTTTTTTAAAAATGATTTGTGAGATTTTTCCTCTCTACCACCCCCACCCCCCCGACAATGACATTTTATTAATTTTTTTAAACAAAAAGTTTAAGTACTAAATCGAATTGAAGGTCCACGTGTAACTAGCTAGGTGGTAGATAATCACAATGAGTTTTTTTTTTTTTTTTAATAAAAAGTGTCTGCAATTATGAGTTTAAGATACTTTTTCTTTTGGTCAAAGTATTTCAAAATGATGATTAGCTAGCTACATTAACTAATAAATTAGGGTTTGCTATCTCAATCATGAGAGGATTCATTAAATCATGATAAGAACGAGTGAAATAAATAGTAGCATCATACTAATAGGTATCCTTTGATTTTTCAAGTGTTTGATTAATCGATGGATCAACTAAGCAAGAATTCCACAAAGCCAAAATTTTTCAACACTTGCTTGGAGAATAAATCAACTTTCAAGATTTCGTTAAACACAGAGCCAATTTTTGAGATGATTAATTACACGTTGGCAATCTTGTGATTATAGTTTCCACATTGCAGAAACTACACACACACACACACACATATATATTTGAAGGCAAATTATACTACTGTAATTTTTACGTGGCGCCATAAGCACTACAAATGTGCAAAATCCTTTCCAACCAGCACCTTATATAATTGGTCCGTAATTTATATTCAGAAGGTGCATTCTTTAAAAGTCTTTGTCATCCAATCTGACTGA